AGGAATCTGGCCCTGCAGCCTCTCTAGCGCCATCAGCTCCCACCAGTCTGTCCCGCCCACCAAATCCCAGCTGCCTGGCCTTGCTTCCACCCTGGGATCACCGGCAGTGGCGCTTGCACTCTCTCCCTGGAACACCGGAAGGCTGGCTCCTTCTCATCATTTGGACCTCAGCTGAAATATCACCTCTTCAGGGGGTCTCCCCTGAGCACCCTATCCAAATCAATCACCTCTCTCCTCTCCAGGTATGCTCAGTACCTCAGCTGGCCAGTACAGTAGCCAGTAACCACATGGGACTATCTGATTTTAATGAATTAAGGGATATTTAAAATTCAGTTCCTTGGTTATACCAGCCACATTTCAAGCACTTCCTGGCCCCATGTTGGCTACTAATATTAGAGCAGATATAGAACATTCCCATCATCACAGAAATTCTATTGGATAGAACTTCTCTATACCTTTACTCAATCTCATCATCCCCTCGAAATTTATCACTATAGGAAACCTTATTCAATTACTTGTCTGTTGTCTGCCTTTCCCTCCTGTGGTTCTCTTTTTCACCCCAGGACCTAGCCTAGAATCTAACATATCTCCAAAATAAGCATTCAGGAAATATTCCTTGGGGGGTATTTTTTGAACATCTGCCAAGATTAGGGATAGGTGCTCTCTGCCAGGGGACAGAAGCCACCCTGAGATTTTCTTATGCCTGTGGGAGTAAGGGGACCTGAGTATCATCTGCATATTGTAGACATGGCATTATTACTTTCCTCTATGTCCTCAGGAATCTCCACCCCCAGGTCAGCTGTTAGGAGGAACTTCACGTACCACACGCTCCCTTGGGAGGTAAGCCCAGGTGAGCAGCATAAAATTTATTTGCCACTTCAGGGAGAATCACCTTGGACCTGGGGAAGGGCAGAGCAGGGGCTGCACTGGGATGAAGTGGGATTGCCCAGGGTGGGAGGAAGAGCAGAAGGGAGCAGTGGCTTGGGGACCTGGCATGGACGTGGCCCCAGGCTTGAGATGCCCCCGAATGAGGACCCAGCGCCCTGCCCTCATCTCTCTCATATCTTGTGCTTTGCTTTCTTCTGCCTAAGTTTCCTAGTAAAAGTTTCTTTGAAAAAGTTCAAATTCATCCTGATGAACTAAGGGTGGAAGTGTGAAAGGGGCCTACCCTGGGTTCAAATCCGAGCCTTTGGTAACTGGCCTCTTTGAACCTCAGTTTCCCTTCTGTAGGTTGAGGGGTTTAAACAAGACAGTGCAGATACAAGGCTTAGCGTGGTGCCTGCATGTTGAAGGTGTTTCATGATTGATAGTTTCTTCTGTCCCTTTTCCGCTTGGGCCCAAACAGCAGGAAGAGTTGATAACCTTTGGAGAGAGCAGCTGTGCCAGCTGGCGAACCTGAGAAGAGCTATGAGCTAGAACAGAAGGATCGAAAGGCCAAAACTCGCAGAGAAACCGAGAGAGACCTGAAATTCAGAAAGGAGTCCGGGCTGCTGGCTGGGACTGCAGGCCCTTCCTGCCCTTGGCTTTTCTAGTAGAGACCATGTCTAGTGCAGGTTACCAAGTACAAGAAACAAACAGCTCCAGGAGTGACATCGCCACCAACCGCTGCAACGGATCTTATTTTTTTTAACTATGCAAATCTCAGGTCAGAGGGCTGAGAGTGCTGCCTTCCCTCCAGGGGACTTGGGCACAAGGGTCTCCCAAAGTGTAAGTGCTCTGTGCCCGGTCTGCTCAGCGTTGGAGAGCCACTTAACCTCCCTGCTTGCCTGGACACCAGGAGGCCCAGGCCCGGTGTCTGCTCAGGCCCTCTATCTTCTCTTGACCTAAGCTTTCTTAGCAATGTTTCTCTCCCACCACTGTTACTTGGATTATTTTCTGTTCCTGTGTTGATGGATGTTTCTTGCCTGAACTGATGAGTCCCATGTAAGACTTCCATCCTTTGATGGGTGTAAACAAAGAAGCAAGGGCTAGCTACCCATTGATGGGCATTCTTTCCTATCCAAAAAGGTAAAGGGGTAAGAAGCAAGGGAAATGAGAGAGAAGTGGGAGTGGGAAAGGGAACCAGCTCATGTCAACACCATCACACAGCTGGTAAGTAGTGGGCTAGTCTGCAAGTCCGGAAGTGGGTGGCCAATGCTAAAGGAACAGGAGCAGCTCCTAGGAGTGGGTGGTGGGGTCTGCCAGAGTGGGGGAAGGGTGCAAAAGGAGAGGAGGGTCTTATGGAGAAGGGCAGGCCTGGCTCATCAGTCCAAGGGCCAGATGCCAACTGCCTGAAGGACACTGCGATGGAACCCCAAATCAGAGCTCCAAGCGCCACCCAGTGGCCACTGGGGAGATTGCATGAGAAAAGGGCTGGTGAGAAAAGAGTGGAGAATGTGGTGGGGGGAGTGAAGGAGGAAGCCTGGACTTTGCCCTCACTGCCCCCCAGTCAGTTAAGGAACCCCTTCCAATCAGATGCCCCCAAGCATCTGCCTGATGCAGCTGGGGCTCTGTCACTGGTGAGATCACAGCCTGTCCTCTAGGCCTGACTCCTCACTGGGAGACAGGGATTGGGCAGGTGAGGTCACATGCCAGGCACTGTGCTCAGCACTTGAGCTCATCTGAAGAGTTCAGATCTCAGCCATCCTGTCCCCCCGTGCTCCAGTCGCTCCTGACCACACATTCATACTTCATTTGCCAGTGAAATCCCTCATGGCCACCTGCAGAAACTCCAGTCATGGTTTAAGGCTAGGCTTGAAGGTCACCTCCTCAGGGATTTCTCCCTCCATACCTGCCCTCACTGCCTGCTCCATCTTCTCACCTGAAGGGCCCTCTTTCTTCTACACTTATAGTCAGGTGCGTCTCTCCCCTTCATCCCTGAGCTCCCCCACTTCAGAGGCTTTTCTCAATTATGTTTCTGCCTCTTCACCAAGCTGAGCAAGGTGCCAGGCACAGAAGTGCTGAAGAGGCCTGATCTGAGGTGAGGCTGCCAGGGTGCCAACCCTGTGTGGTAAGCAGAATAACGGCCCTCCAAGCATGTCTACGTCCTACTAAAGGAACATGTGGCTATGTTACTTTACATGGTAAGGGGATTCTGCAGCTGGGATTAAGCTACGGAGGTTGAGGCGGGGGGTTACTGTGGATTAGCTGGGTCAGCCCAATATAATCACAAGGGTCCTTGGAAATCAGAGACAGAGAGTCTCTGAGAAGATTCCCCAGAGACAGAGAAGGAGATGTTGAGGGATGCAAGGCCATGAGCAAGGAATTCAGGGAGCCTCTAGAGGCAGGAAAAGGCAAGGAAATGGAAGCCTCCAGAAGGAATGCAGTCGTCGCACCGACCCATTTCAGACTTCTGACCTCCAGAAATATAAGGTAATAAATCCCTGTTGTTTTAATTACCCCTACATTTGTGGTAATTTGTTATGGCAGCCAGAGGAAGCTAATACATCCTGGTTCAGCTTCTTACTAGTTATGTGACTTTGGGAAACTTACTTAACCTCTCTATGCCTCAGTTTCCTTATCTGTAAAATGGGGGTGATAAAGGCAGTAATTCCTACCCCACAAGGTTGTTGTGAGAAAATGAACATCATTTAGAATAATGCCCAAGACTAAATATGTTAGCTATTATTATATATGTTAGCTATTATTATAAGATAAATTAATAGCTCCCATTAATTGAGGTCCTAATTGTGCCAGGCACAAGGTCAGATGCCTTAGAATAATTTCCTCTATTCTCAGCAAGGCCCTTGGGGAAAACAATTTCAATTCCCATTTTTCAGTTAAAGAAACATACCCAGAGTAATTGGAGCACAATCTCTCCAGGATTGGAAGCACTTTTAAAACTTTGGACTTTGTTACATGCACTCTGGAAATGGGAGTGGTTTGTGCTTTTTCCTGATACAGTGTTGGTTTGGGGAGGTTTTCTGTCAGGGAGGGGGTGGGGGACAGGTGTCAGAGTGTGGGTCCAGGCTAGGTAGGCAGAGGCCTGCTCCAGGTGAGGGGTTCTGGCTGATACCTCCTGGTCCCTACCTAGCATAGAGGGAGATAAAAATCCAGGCAAAATTCACCTATCCGCCCCGGACCCTGTCCATTTAGGGGTTCTATTACTGCATCTTGCTTCCTCACCAACTCTCCGGCCCAGTTCTAGGAGCCAGGTTTGGGGGCTCCATGAGCTAGGCACAGCCCGATGGCCCTGTGTTCCATCCGCTGGGGGATGGAGGGCCACAGGCTAGCTCGGACCCCAAGGGTTCCCGTTGAGCCCCCTCCCTTCCCGCAGCCGGCATAAGGAGCCATCTGTTCTCTGCTGAATAAACAAGGAGGGGGAAGCAGCGCCGGGCCCACTGCCCCCCAGCCCGACCCCCGCACAATGCGCCTTTCTCCGAGGAGACGCCGCCTGGGCGCCTCCAGGGCGCGTTCCGTCTGGCCTCCCCTCCCCGCGGCGGCACAGCAAGACCCACAGACCGACCCGGTGGAAACCAGATTTCTTTCTTTTTTTAATAAAAAGAAGCCAGAAAGGAAATCCAACACAGTTACTGAGCGCAGTGCGCGGCGAGGACTTGCGGACCTCCCACGCGCTCCCTGTGCCCCGCAGGCCAGTTCTGGTCCACGCGAGGCCGGCTCGAGCGCAGCGCTGGGAGCCCGCCAGCGTCTCCTCCCCGACAGCCCAGGCCCGAGGGGCCCGGCTTCAGCCCGGCCACGCGCCCCGACGGCGCACGAAGGGCAGTCCACGGGGCTGTGTCCCCGCCCGGGACCGGGCCTCCGGCAGCCCTCAGGTCTGCGTGGCCAGCTGGTTCTCCAGCTCCTCCAGGCGCGCCATCAGCTGGGCCAGTGGGCGGTTAAGGAGGTCGTTGGAGTTCGCGGGGGTCCCTTCCCCTTCCCTCCAGCCCGCGCCCCGGCCCAAAGGATATGGTTATGCGTCAGACTCTCGAGCGCCCCCAGCGTGCGGCCCTGGAACTCCACGAGGCTTTCGCATTCACAAGGGCTCCGAAGCTCTGTCCCAGCGCTGATGCCCTCCTCTGGCACAGGGCACAGACAGGCAGAGGAATGAGAACCCGTAGGGGCATGAGCCGGCCCTGGCGTGGCCCTCTGATGTACCTCCACCCGTCCTGGGGTGGGGTGTGTGGGCTTTGGATTCAAACAGACCTGGGATGAGTCCCAGCTACATAGCTGTGAGATACTGGAAAACTGACTCCACCTTCCTAAGCATTACTTTCTTAATCTGTAAAAACGGATACATTGCGATACTATGGTGTGTGTGTGTGTGTGTGTACATCTTAGAGTTTCTCAGACCTAAACACTTCCTGGAATCACCAGACCATGTTAAAATATAGATTCTTATTCACAATGGGAAAGGAGCTGAGACTCTACATTTCTAATAAAAAACCAAGTGATACTGATGCTACTGGTCCTGGGACCTACACTTCATGTAGGAAGCGTCCATAGCAGCACTTTTCCAATGAAACTTTATGCAATGATGGAAATGTCAACATTTCAACATCTCTGAAGTCAAAACAAGTGAGTGCCTTACAATTTGGCCCATTTTTTTCTCAGCAGTAGATAAAATAATAGGGTATCTTACCACGGATGCTATCTTAGGTTTACTGAAACTCTGTAAACATATGCCCTTTATAATATTAGGGCACAATGCCTGGCACTTGGCTTTCAAACAAGAGTTGCTGTTTATTTAAATAGTTGAACGCTGCTGATTTAAAAGTTATATACTCTTAACAAACTGCCTATGTTGTGTCATCAATGGTATTGATCACAGTTCTTCAAAGATGCCTAACTTTACAGTTGGGAAAAGCAAAAGGTCAGAGAGAGGGAAGGATCTGCCTGAGGTCACAGCCATTTGGTCTAGAGCCTCGGCCACAGAGCCCATATTTCTCTTAGAATTCTAGAGCTGGAAGCAACCGTGGGCAACCAGCACCCTCCCCTGTTATGAAAGAGGAAACCTAAGGTAGGGGTGGAGGTTAAGTGACTTGTCCAACGTCATACTGTGGGAGACATGAGTCAGCATAAGGGCCCTGAAAGAGCAGTGAATGTGGTGCTTCCACAATACTCTGACTAATTATTAGAATTAACCTGAAGAGAGATGTGTATGCACATATGTGTGTATATATGTAAATTACATATATAGGTGTGTGTGCATATATATATAAAAACTACAGATTCCCCAGGCCCGGCTCAGCCCTACTGAATTTAGCTCTGGATGAGCCAGGTTATCTGAAAGAGACTCACATTGTAGGTTTAGGTTAGAGTCTAAAGATTCCATGGTAAAAATTACTCACCCTCCCCAGCAATTCCCTGTGTCACCTATAAAGTACAGTAGGCAAGGTTCAACAGCCTCCTTATCCTCCACAGCTAGAGTTGGTCCCTTTCTCCTCAGCTGAGCACCAGATGAAGTAGATGGATTGAATTTATGGCCTACATTCTCCAAAAACGTACATCTTTGTGTATTCAAAACTCTCTCAGCCCTGTCACTTTGCAACATCTGTAAAGTTGAATTCCAACAAGCTAAAAGGCTGTGTGACTCTTCTTACAAACGCTGAGTTTGGTGTGCCTTTGAAAAACTTCCCCCGAAGTATTCTGAACATGCAGTAATTTGGGGGACAGGTAGCTTAGTCTACTGATTCTTAAACTTGAACATACTTACGAATCACCTGAGGGTCTTGTTAAAGTGCAAAATCTGACTCCTTCAGTCTGGATGCTGCAGTTCTACCAAGCCACCAGGTGACAGCCCTGCTGCTGGTCCACGGACCACTCTTTGAGTAACAAGGCTCTGTCTAGTGAGTCCATCCCCTGGCTGAAACTCAGCGAAAGGGGTGGGAGTGAACTGGAAAGGGAGGTATCGGAGGTTGGGCAGTGAAAGCGAGGGCCCCAGAGACAGATATGCTCACCCGGGCAGATGCTGCCTTTGAGGTTGTCCAGCAGGTGCGTCATGGAGCTGAAGTCCGGGGAGTAGGACACGTGCAGCTCGGCCGGCTCCGAGGCGATCTGGTGCAGCTCCTCCTCCACCGCCTTTCCCACGCCCACGGCGTACATGACAATGCCTGCGCGATCCAGGAACACAGGGGGGCGCCCCGGGCCTCAGGAAAACCTCCTCTCCTCGACAACCCAACCCCAGACCAGAGCGTGCGGCTCCAGGCTCACCTTCCTCCTTGGCCCGCGCTGCCCACACCGAGATGTCATCCTGGGAGCGGCCATCGGTGAAGACCAGGCCCACGCGAGGCACGTTGAGGGCGCGTGGCCGCGCGCCCTGCGCCTCAGAGAAGCTATGCTCCACCATGTGGCGCAGCGCCAGGCCGGTCATGGTACCGCGCTCCATGTACTCCACGGCCAGGACCGCCTGCTTCACCTCAGCCGCTGTGCCGTAGCGGCCCAGAGGGAACTCGGTGCGCACGCGGCTCGAGAACTGCACCAGTCCCACGCGCGTGCCCTCGGGGGACACGTCCAGGAAGTCCACTATCTGGTTTACAAAGCGCTTCACCAGCTCAAAGTTCTGCGGTCGCACGCTCTTGGAGCCATCGACAAGCAGAACCAAGTCCACGTGGCCTTCCCTGCACCCTGAACAGCGAGAAGGGCTTGGATGGAAGGACCAGATCGTTGGCTGGCAGTAGCCATCTACCCATCTGGTCATTCATTCACAAGCACTTATTACATAACAGACATCATGCGTGAAGTCCTTCCTTGTGCCAGGCACTGTGCTAAATCACCATCACCATCATCATTATATTAATTTCATAGCAATAATAAATTTATTAACAATGTAAAGTAAATATCAATATAACAACTTAATATTTATTATCAGCAATAAATAACACTGAAAGCATTCTTACCATGTGCCAGGCACTGGTTAGGTGCTTTATGTATTTTTCCTCAATCTTCCCAATAACCTTGAGTATTATCCCCATTTTCTATCATAGGAAGTTCTGAAGGATAAAGGGATTTGCTCCGGATTCAATAGCGAATAATGGCTGAGCCGTGCTCCTAATCTCTCTACAATGCTGCCCCCTCTGTTCTGAGCCAGGGACTTTGCTAGGCCCTGAAGGAGGTTCAACAATAAACGAACATGATCGTGATCCATGAGGAGGTCAGGAGACAGCAGAGCCATCAGACATGCCATTTGCTGGAGTAGTGGGGCAACAATCATGCTAGAATAGAGGGGCATGCCCAGAGCCCAAGGTAAGAATAATGCCTTCTTCCTGGAGTTGGTAAGGAAGACTGTATGGAAGTGGTGACATCTGATATGGACTTCAAGGCTGAGGAGGAGTTCTCCAGGGCAGGAAGGGACATTCTAGATGATGGAAGCAGCAGGTGCAGAGGCACAGAAGCTGGGGATGGGCATGCCGGCATGACTAAATGCTCAAGTGTGGCAGGAGGCAGGCTGATGGGTTGGTGGAAGCTAATGATGAGCTAAGGCAGTGATTTCAAATTATTGACCAAAATCCACAGAAAAATAATAACACCACATCATGATGTACTTTGTATGCTCACATATTATTAAATGCAGCAAACTCTTTTCTCTCTCTCTTTTTTAAGTCCTAGTTATAAGCCACTGATTTGATTTCATTATCCACGAATGTGGTTGCATCCACCATTTGAAAAACTGCAGGGCTGCAGGGTAAGATATTTGATCTTTATTCTATAGGTGCTGGTGAGCCTCAGAAAGCTTTGAAGCAAGGGAGAAAGGGGATCAAATCTGTATTTTTGAAATTCACCTTGGCAGCAGGACACAGGATTAAGGGAAAGAGATGGAGGTAAGGCATGGTTCATCCTCCAATCCCCCCCACCCCCAAACACACACACACACACACACCACCACCACCACCACCACCACCACCATGCACATTCATACCACACCCTGGGGCCACAGTAGGGGGTGGGGGTAGAGGCAAGGATGCTCAGAAGGTGGTGGGGGTGGGCAGAGGCAGACAGAACATCTCCCACCCACGACTCACGGTTGCAGCTCTTGCCATCTGCCTGGAGTTGCCGCCCCTCAGGACACAGGCAACGGTAGGAGAGGCCGTCGCTGACACACTGGAACTCACATCCATGGTCCACACCATTGCAGAAGTCCCGGGCTTGAAGGAGACACAGTCAGATGAGTCAGGTGGACTCCACCGGCTAAGATTCCTTGTCCCTCTCACAAATGCAAGAGACCCCTCCTCACCCTGACAGCTCTTTCCATCAGGCAGCAAGTCGTGGCCCTCTCTGCAGTAGCACTGTGGCCCACCAAAGGTGCTAACACACTCGTGCTGGCAGCTGTGGTTCCTAAATCTGCAGTGATCAATGGCTGGTGGGAAGAGAGAGCAAGACCTGATCAGAACCATCAGAGACATCAGTCCGGGTGCTAGTGGGGAGAACTTGCTCACCCCTGCAGCTCCTCTGGTCCTGCTGGAGTACAAAGCCAGCTCGGCAACAACAGAAGTAGGAGCCTGGGGAGCCGACACAGCGGTGCTCACAGCCATGGGTCCCTTCCGTGCACAGGTCAATGGCCGAGGAAAAGGAGAGGTCGGCATATGCCCTGGGGCTGTGCTTCTCAGCCAGGATGGCACAACCACCGCAAGAGCTTTTTAAAAACACCTATTCCTGGGCCCCAATCCCCAGACATCCTGACATAATTTATCTGGGGTGGCACTCAGGCATCTGTGATTTCTCTAAGCATAGGCCTCCTTCCTACTGGGTCAGGCAGCACCCCCCAAATCCAGCCTCACATCCACTCCATTGTGCCCAATGCTAAGCCAGGCATAAGAAGGAGAGTCCACAGCTGTTGAACACAGGGCCCCTGCCCTCTGATGCTCAATGACTTACAGGGGAGGACCACACTCTGACACTTTCTCTGTCTGAGCCTCCATTTTCCCATCTGCGAAATGGGAATATAGTGGAAGAAAGCAATTGCTATTGACAACTTCCCTCTGAGGAGGGTGAACTATTACCTGTTGAGTATCTTGGTGACTTAGATGTGCAAAGATGGAGAATAGGGCTGCAGAAAGGTGAACTGTCCTGCATAAAAAAGTGAGGATGTGGGCTCCTAGGAAAAGATGGGAATGCAGAGAGGGAAACAGAACCAGAGAGATGGTGTGAAGATGAGCAACTGTGTGGGTTGAAGTTGCCAGTGAAAATCCCCTGTAGTGGGGTGACTGAGAACTTCTAGGATTAAGGGTATCTAGTAAATAATGGGCGTTTTTTTGTGTATGTATGTTTGACTTAACTTAGATGAAACTCACACTTCTGTCCACTCCCACTTTTAGTAAAATGGACATCTGCCTGCATTTACATATACACATATGTGCCCTTGCACGCACAAGTGTGTAAACCAAGGAAGAATCTGATTTACATGAAGGGAACAAGAACAGCATGTATGGATTGAGAAATTGAGAGAGGACCCATAAATTGAATGACTTCAGCAGAAGCTCAGTGCGAGAGGTAATCACAGAACATAAGCACTTGGGGAATTCCCGGAGATCTTGAGGAGAGATTTGAATGAATGTTTCTAGGTCATCAGAGGGGACTTTAAGCAGCCTTTTCTAAGTTCTCGAAACAAGAATCCTCTAGCTGACACCTGAGTTATTGGGAACACATGACCTCTTTTTCCAGATTGTCATGAGGCTGAGATGATGTATGTAACACTCCAAGCACAATGTCTGATCCTGTAAATGGCATGGCAGCTGCTGTTGGGATCAAGGGAGTGGACATCTGCATGCACATGAAAAAGTCCTTGTGGGCCATAGCTTTCAGAAGGTAAGAGCAAAGGACCAGGCCTTGAAAGATCTGCAGATGCAGAGAGGAGCAGTGAGGAAGCCCAAAAAGGGCTGAGAGGCAGAAGCAGGAATAAATAGCCTAAGGGGTGGGTGTGGGGTGTATGGAGGCCCTAACTACCCCAACAGTGTTCAAGTAACAGAAACGGCAAAGGTGAGCCTGTGAGAAGACACAGTCCAGTTTGGGAGATGTATTGTAGCCAGGTAGGAGAGATGCTGAAAGAGAGAGAGGAAGTAGAAAACACACTTAATTGTGGGGACAAGATTTCCAGCCCTGGTCCCACCAAGGACTTTATTAGACCTGTAAAGCAAAGGAGGTGGATTTTTACTGCCAAAGGCCCTTTCAGGTGCATTGGTCTGGCACTGGGGAGTCACAGAGCCCTCACCCACACAGCTCTTGTTGTCTTCAGCCAGCTGGTAGCCAGGGCTGCAGGCACAGTGGAAAGTGCCAGGGGCTCTGACACACTGGTGCTGGCAGTCGTGTCTCCCCTCTGCACACAGGTCCTTTCCTGAGGACACACAAGAGTAGAATCAGTGGGGAACAGATGGGCAGAACCCCCAATAGGAGAGAGCTGGATGGGGTCTGAGGCAGGCACCATGCTCAAGTATAGCTTTAACCAGCATTTGATTCATTCAAGAGGGGCCACGCCAGGCGGAGGACTTAGGGCATGAACAGGGCCTGAGTAGCCCCGGTGAATAGGCTCAGAAGAGGGGGCCACAGCACTAGATGTGTCAGTGGAGTAGGGCAGGACCAAACGGAGGTAAGGCAGAGGTGCAGAGGTGCTAAATCAAGGTAGGAGGAAAAACTCAGGTGTGGCTGGGGCAGATCTCATGGCATTGTGGAAGGAATCAAAATGAGAGCGGGCAGAGCCATGCCCGCTGGGACGGACATGGCTCTTCCAAGTGGACTGCTGTAAAGTTTGAGGTGAGGTGCTTCTTGTGTTAAGGGGCGAGTTTGGAGTTTGACGTTAGGCCTGTGGTAAACCGCAACAGCTCATCCTGGTGGGTGGGCACGCTCAGTGCTGCTCCTGGTGGGAGAAGCCTAAGCGAAAGTGAGCAGAGCTGGAATTTGCCCCAGCATGTGGTAGGTCGGAGCAATGCCACCATCTTGTGGGCGGGGCTAAAGCTGGGGAGGGCGGGGCCATCCGGGATGGGTGGGATTTGTCACAGTGGGAACTGGAATCTGAGCCGTTGGAGAGTTCTGGCCCTGCCGCAGCTCTCGCCTAGCTCACCACACAGCTGGCCCCGGAACTGCAGGCCAAACTCCTGGATAAGGTCGAAGGACTCGACCAAGAAGACGTGCTCGTCTAGTGGGGGGGACGCCATGGCTCGCAGAGAGCCCACGTCGGCGCGCTGCACCCCCACAGCGTAGATCTCGATGCCACGGGCGCGCGCCTGCGCCGCCACCTCCGCCACGCGATCCTGGGGCCGCCCGTCGGTCACGATGACAGCAACACGGGGCACGCGCGCCTCGGGCGGGCGCGCTCCCTCGGCCACGCTGAAGGCCACGTTCATGGCATACTGGATGGCGAGCCCGGTCATGGTGCCCTGCGCCAGCGGCACCAAGGCGCGGATGGCGCTCTCCATATCCTCGCGGCGCCAAAAGGCGCCGAGCGGGAAGACGCTCTGCACTTGACTCGAATACTGGATCACGCCGACCCGCGTGGCGTTGGGCCCCAAGTCCAGCCCGTGGAGCAGGCCCACCAGAAACTGCCGCATGGTCTCGAACTCGAAGGGGCGCACACTGCGCGAGCTGTCAATCACGAACACCAAATCCAGCTGCCCAGTACTGCACCTGGGACCTGCGAGATCAGAAAGGGCTTTCCTAGGTCAGCAAAGCCTCATCTCCGAGAAGACCCCCAGGGAAAGCCAGGGCAAAATGGTGCTATGCCGGCGTAACAGCGCCCAGCACAGAATTAACCTAGCAAATGAACTTAGGTGCATGCACTCATCCAGCATTTGCTGCGGGCCTGGGCCAAGAGATTTCACCGATCTTCTGCCCTGCAGTTCTAAGGGCTATTCTGGGAGGTGGGGCGGGGGGGTGGGTATTATCCATTAGGAAAGAGGGGGAAGGGTGTCGCAAACTCAAATGCCTATAGAAATCAGCCAGGCTGTTTCTATTATATATAAAAACCAACATATATAATGAACTGGTTGGCCTGGGTCCATGGACCCCCCAAAGAGCCCATATCCCTCCTCCAGCCAAACATGGTCTTGTAGCCCTGTGGACCTCATGTTAACAGATCCTTGAATTTTTCAAGAGAAGACCCAAATCGGGATTTTTATGTGAAATCTCCTGATTTTTCAACCAACTTTTAAAAATTAAACATCGAATGGGCAGTTCCACAGGAATCCAACTTTGTTACAGGTTAGATGCATCCTACAGTTGAGGAAATGGTGGCCCAGAGAGGTGAGGCGGTGAACTCGAACCTGGCCCCTTGTGGTGGTGCCTAAGCCTCGCTTTTCTGTCCCCAGGAGGCCAAGCTAGTTGCCTAGACCCCCTGCTTTTGCTGCCCTCCGCCTGCTGGTGGGGGCTGAGCTGAGCCCCCGTTCACCTGAGAATTGGAGCTGGGTCTCCCAGGGCTGAAGAAGGAGCAGCAACACGGGCAGTGGCGAGCCTAGAAGGATCCTCATGGCGCTTGGAGGACAGAGAACGGAGGTGTCAGAGCCTGGAGAGTGGAAGGAAAATAGCAACAATAGCAGTTATGGCGCTCTTATTCTGGGTGATGGGCCCTTGGAAGGGAGGGAGGGTCAATCTCTCTACTTTTGTGTTTGACATTTTTCATCAATAAAAAATTGCATTCCGGTGGGATTGCTGGGAAACGAAGAGAATTCCGCTTTGCAGAATTGCAGAATACCAAATAAATAGTAGATAAAAATTCACAAAATTTGGAGGGGAAAAAAAAGTCTTTCCTAAATGCCATGCACAGTGTTAAATGTTTTTCATGCATTGTGATATTTAATCTTCTCTACAATTCTATGAGCCTAAGGCTGTTGTTGTTCCCATTGTACAGATAAGGAAACGGTCTCAGAAAAGGTAAGGGCTGGTACCCAAAATCTTGAAACAAGAAAGTAACCGCTCCAGGGTCCAATCTTATGCCCATGTTGTACCAATGGCCAGCCCGCGTGTTCCGCGCCCTCTTCTCCATGGAGGAGATCTTGCAGCCGAAAGCCATTCCCCACTCCAACCCCTCCCCTCCGCACACAAGGCGCCTCTGTGAGGCTGTCCTTCCAACACATACTCTCGGCCTTGCACCGCCCAACTGCAGGCCGCGCGGGAGGGCCTCGCCCTTTCGCTGAGGAGGGGTTGTGGGTGGAGGGCGGTAGGAGACACGCAGTGCGTTGGACGAAACCCACCAAGCACGTGAACTCGAGGCTTGGCGCCTCCACTTCTCGCCTGCTCTCAGGAGAGGCCGCCAGGGGGCGTCTTCCCGTCTAGCTACCTTGGCTAGGTGGCCGTGGGAAGCCCACATCTGCCTAGCAGGTGCCCCTGCCCAGAGCAAACAGGAGGGTGCGAGCCCCAGGGCCTTGGAGATAAGACCCAGGCAGGATAAATCCAGCGCGAGGACCAAGAAGCAGAGGCGCGCAGGGTTCGGGGGCAGCGACACTGGACTCTCCCAGAGAGCGTTAAGTGAGCAGCCGGGGACTCCCAGCGTGGCCATGGACCCTGTGGGAGCAGCAGGTGAGCGCTCACTCTCCCGCGGCCCTTGGCGACACCCCTTGAAAAATCACAAAGGACTCCCATTGTACAGATGGAAAAATTGAGGCCCAAGAAGGCGGCCTGCCGAACTGCAAAGGAACCTAGGACTAGAACCTGGGACTCCTGACCGCCCTTCTCCCTTCGGAGCTTTCAGGCAACCTGGCACCTAGGGATCTTTAAACCTCTTCTCCTTCCATTCACTCCTGCTACTCTGTACCCCAGCCCCGGCGCCCCATGCTGAAGCCACGTTAGCCATTTTTCTGTTGCGGTTTCTTGGCAGAGGAGGCCAGCCGCCCCTAACCCAACCGCAGATCCGCCCACTCCCCCTCAATTCCATGAATGGGCGTATTTTGAGATACGTTGGGCGCCTGCAGCTCACTCCGGGCGGACTTCCTGATCCAAATCCTCTCCGCCTTAGCCTTTCGGGCCTGGGAGGAACAAAAATGCCTCTGGCAGGGCCCGTCGGGGAAGAGTGACTAAACCAGATGTGACAGCTGTTGCTGGAGGTGGGAGGGTGCAGAATGCCTCCTCTGGCTTGGGCCGTAGGCCGGCCAGCACCCCTGGGGAGGGTGGGGGTAAAGACACAAGCGGCCTTTGCCACCTCCCATCCTTTCCTACCTGCAGAAGTCTCTGGGCCCCCAAATCTTGATTAAGGCCTCCCGATCCTTCTCTTGGCACGAGCCAACAGCTCACCTGCATCTCACCTCCACCCCTAGGAATCCTAGAAAGTCAAAATAGCTACTGTCTCAAAGTTCATCACCTTTCCAACTCCCTAGGAGGAAGGAACCAGGCCCAGAGATCAGAGAGGGTAGTGTCTTGCCCAAGGTCACACAGCAACATGACGACACTGGAACACAGAGCTCTTCTGAGGGTTTAATCCTTGCGTTAAAAACATTCAGAAATTCCCTTAGGGTGCAGAAAGTGGACTCACAAGGGAGGAGAGGTCTGTGAATAATTCCCCAAGAGTTGACTGAAGAATGAACACCTTGGGGGAGGTTTCTGGATGATTCCTGAATGGAGAAGTTTAGGGAAAAATCCTTCCCCCTCCCATTTTGGTGGCCTAGTTGGTGGGGGCTCAGTTTCGAAGGATCCCACAAAAGTGGGGCAGGGCACCGCCAGTCAGATGGGAGCACCGTAGTTGGTGCAGCCGCGGTTAAATACGGTCGCCTGGTCCGGCTTGACGCCTGCTGCCCCGCGGACCCCTCCGTGTCCCCAGGCCCGTTGACTCACCTGAGCCTGCCGGACCACTCGGAGGCGCGACCGCAGAGCGGAGCCGACGGGCGGAGCCTCCTGGGCAGCTGGACCAGGTAACAGCGCAGGCAGCGTGCCCGAGGCGGGGACTGCCAGGCAGCTGAAGCGAGCGGAGGCGGCGGCCGCATTTAACCCAGGGCTGGCGGGTTGGGAGGGGGAGTGCGGGCTGCGACCCCTCCCACCGTTAGGGAGCGTTTCCCCCTCCTCGGAGCTCTGGGGCGGGGCAAGCGCGGCACCCCCGGCTCCTGCCACCCTTGGAGCCGCAGACTGGAACTGCGGGGCCGGAATTCAGTAACAGCAGGAGGCTGGGAGGCTACGCTCTCCGCAGCCAGAACGCATTGGAAGCCTCCGAGGCACTTCCCCGAGAGAGCCCCAAGGGGCGGAGCGGGGACTGGCTCCCGTCGGCGGCGGCCTGGCCCCGCTTCTCAGGGCGCGGCCCAGCTTGCCCTCCGCTGCCCCCTCCAGCAGTGACAGTGAGGAGAGGCCCCCGGACTGTGGTTCTGCGAAGCGTGTGAAGGGTTCAGAAGAGCAGCCTCAGGCTTGCTGGTCCCACCTGGCGGTCTCTCAAACCTCTGCCATCACCGACTCCTTCATGTGTTCTGTGAAATTACTTAGTTTGGGGCCCACCCAACACCCTCACCCATCAAAACTCCCAGGCTGAGAAGCCACCAGGCCCCTAGGCTCTGACTGGCCCACTCCTCAGAGCTGTTGGAGGCCCTGTAATCCAGGGAAGGGAAGCTGAGACTGCGACAGGCCGCTTCTCTTGAGACAAAGGGGGAAGGGAGTGTTGCTCTGATCCCAGAAGGACTCACATGTTCCACCAGGATCCTGGGGACACAGTTTTCATGTTTCCAGGAATCTGAGGGCAGGCAAGAGAGTACTCTGGTCCTAGGGGGCAGAAAAAGCCACCCATCAACCCCCAAGTCAAGATTTCCCTGGGGTCGGTCCCCTTGGGGTTCAGAGAAGCCATATGCCCTCGAATACCCTGTCTCCATCCCCAGGCCCGGCACAAGTATGGCCTTTGTGCCTCTGAGGCCTCTCCCCCACGCTTCTGGCTGCGATGGCTTGGAGCCAGGTCTGCAGAGTTGCACCTGGGTGGTCCTGGTGGGCTCTGTGCAGGCCTCATTGAGCATGGGGCTGCCAAAATATTTAGCCCAGGATTGGCATCCAGGTCCCCTCCCTTGCCTAACACGTCATCTCCCTGGCCCCAGGGGGCAGAACTGGAGCATGCCCTTCCCCCCATTCATTTCATTCAACCTTTGTGCTCTGGGCACCAGGCCACCTTGCCCCTTGCCGCTCCCTGCCCCCACTCCCAGGTCCTCCCCAGAGTGCTCCACGGTCCTGAGGGAAGGCGTGCGCAGGTGCCTTCAGCAACAGTGCCAGCAGACCGTGAGGATACTGCATGCCAAGGTGGCCCAGAAATCCTACGGAAATGAGAAGCGGTAGGTGTCTCAGCGGCCCCTGCCAAGTCTCTGAGTGCCCCATGTGCCCTCGCCTGCTAGAGTCCTTTAGAGCCTCCAGAGGACTTAGGCCTTTGCCAGTGGCCAGTCAGAGGCCTTCTCCCTCAGCCCCCACCAGCCTGCCCTTCACTCTATAGCAAAACCTCCCTGTGAATCTACAGTCCCCATTCACTCACCCACCCACCCACTCATTCATGCCTTCATTCAGCAGCTACTTACTGAGTGCTTATCATGTGCCAGCCTCTCTGGGCACTGCTGGGCACTGGGCACAGAGCTGCATGAGATACAGTCCCCGTCTCATGGCATCTTCACTCCATTGTGGAAGAGAAAGTAAAGCCCCCACTAATAAGTGAACAAGATACTTGCCATTGTGGAGAGCTGTAAGGGGAAAGAACAGGCTAATGTGACAGAAATTGAAGAGGGTCTCCTGTAGCTCAAAAGCTCTAGGTGGTGGTTTTAAGGCCTTTTGAGGAGGTGACATCTGAACAGAGACAGACAGGAGAAAATCTGGGGAAGTGTGTTCCAAGAGAAGGAAGAGAAAATGCCCAGACCTTGAGGTTGTAGCAACTTGGGCTGTTCCAGGTACAAAAGAAGTCAGAGGGGCTGGAATTAGAGAAGGAGGTTTTAAGAAATAAAGTTGGAGAGGTAAGCAGGCGCCAGATCACGCGAGGACTTTGAATTTAAACCATTGGAGAATTTTAAGAAGATGAGTAACATGATTAGCTCATGCCTAAAAAAAAGAAAAAGACAATCTGGTTGATTTATGGAGAACAGGCTGAAGGGGCAAAAGTGGAAGCAAAGCCCAGTTGGAAGGCTGGTGCTGGGTCCAGGCAAAAAGTGATGGCAGTTGGGACTCAGGTGGAGGTGGTAAGGAGCCAGTGGATTCTCAATATGACTTTTGAGTTGAATGAGGGTAATGATAAATGAAGGTCCAGATGTCAACCGGGATTCACAGTTTGAAGAGGTCTGGGGAGAGCGGTGGGAAAGGTAGAGAGGGAACCAAGGATTCTGTCGAGTTTGTGCTCCTTTTGAGATGTCTACAAGACAATCAAGTGGAGATGGACATATGAATCCGGTGCTTGCGTGTCTCCGCAGGTTCTTCTGCCCCCCGCCCTGTGTTTACCTCGCAGGTCCCGGCTGGAGGGTGAAGCCAGTGCGGGGCCAAGGTGAGGACGGACTCGACGGCGGCCCCGCGCCTCCACTGGTTAGGGGGACCACGCAGCGGGGCCCGGGAGCGGGCGGTTCCCAGGCTCAGCCTCGCCGCGCCCTCTGGCGGCAAGAACTGAGCTCGCCTGACACCGGAGTTCCCCCTGAGTCCTTCCAGACCCCGCTCGCGTCCCTTTCAGCCCACCAGGAAGGGGAAACCGGGCCCACGGTCTGCGGTTACATGGGACTGGATGGCGCGTCCGGCAGCGCCGCCGAGACGCAGAAATTGAATTTTGAAGAGCAGCCGGACTCCAGGGTGAGAGCGCACGGAAGGGGGTCCAATTCCTGTTCCCATCCTTGCCTCTTCTTTTGAGAAGAGGCTCATTTACACCCCTGCAGGAGCCAAGAAGATAGGTAGAGGGGCGGGGAGACGAGGGTTCTGCCTTAAGAATGAGCCCGAGAGCGTGGATCGTGCTGTTTCAGGTCACGTCCGATGTCAGATAACTAGGAGATGTCAATTCATCCGTGGGCGGAGGGCTGGGATGAGACGGCTCCATCCCTGTGAGCCCCGTAGGAATTCGGTTGCGCCAAGACCCTGTACATCTCGGACGCGGACAAAAGGAAGCACTTTCGGCTCGTGCTGCGACTTGTGCTACGAGGGGGCCGGGAGCTGGGCACTTTCCACAGCCGCCTCATCAAGGTCATCTCCAAGCCCTCGCAGAAGAAGCAGTCGCTGAAAAACACTGACCGTGAGCGGGGCGGGGAGGGACGGTGTCATCAGTTCTGGAGCCGCGGGATTTGGGAGGAGAGGCCTGGATAGTAGGGGCGGGGTCAGAGAGGGGGAGGGGGAGTCTTAGCCAAAGAGGCGGGGTCTGGGTGAGCGTGTGGCTCAGGTCTGGGGTGAAGTTGGAGAAATGAGAGCAGACAAGGGGGACAGATACCAAACTTGAGGTTGGAGTGAGAGTAGAGCAAACAGAAATGGCCAGCAGGTGCTGCGCTAAGGCAGATTACAAGTAACAATAAAAGGGTGACAGCAATTCAGGTAAAATTATTTTTTCAGTGTTCTATGTATGCCTGGCTATGTGCTAGATGCCTTAAAATAAAGTGTCTGTTCTGGAGGAAGGCAACCTAGTAGGGCAGAGAGACACACATAGCTGATCAAAGGGACAGTCTGAGATAAGTACTGCCCTGCATGCCAAGTGACAAATTGCAGGGCTGGGGGCTTTGAGGAAATTTGGTTGGCGGGGGGAGTGGGAGCTAAATAACAATAACACCACCACTAGCCTTGCTGGGTAGAAGAGGAACTTTCCTAGCAGACATTTCTATGCATCACCCTATTTGATGCTCACCCTGTCCTTTTGAGATAAATGCTATCATTTACCTATGTCAGACATGAGGAAAATGAAGCCTGAAAACATTCATCCATTCATTTAAGAAATATTTGGGCCTCTCACATTCCAGGTGAGTTGCCTAAGATTGCCAGCAAGGAAATCACCCAGCCAGGATTTGAACTTGAGAAATCACCCAGCCAGGATTTGAACTTGACTCAGTTTTGACTCCAGAGCTCCTACCCCTACCCACCCCATACTTACTCTTTGTCTGTTAAAAACTCTGTAGAATGTCTCAGATACAGGCAGTGCACTCTGACTGGTCCTTGGTATCAGTAAAGGGCTGGGGGAGTGGGGAGAAATGGTATCATGTAAGGGTTGTGAATGCAGAGTCTGGAGCCAGGTGGCCTGGGTTTGAATCCTGACTCTACTCAATAGCCACACATCTTGAGCAAGTTGCCTTCTTAAGTAGACATGGTAATATCTACCACATAGGGTTGCTAAGAGAAACAAATGAGCTAATTCATATAAAGCATTTAAAACAGTACCCGACACACAGCAAATGTTAGCTATCATCATTACTCAATGGATTGGAAATTGGGCTAAGTAGAAAATAAGTGTTAAGTATGCCTAGCACTGTGAGGAGAGAGGGAGATGACTCCATGATTTCAACCCAGGTAGTCAAAAGTCCAGTCAGAAAACAAATCTGTGGCTCTGAGCATGTGTGATAGGCTGGAAGAGATCAATGTTAAGCCCTGGAAATATTATACTTGCTGTTTCGCACCACATGGCCTTTGCTTATGCAGCCCCCTGAGCAACTCCTACCTACTTCATGCTCCCCAGCTGAGAATATAACCTCCTCCAGGAAGCCCTCCTTCACCCAGCCCTTACCATATCATATTGAAATATTATATACATATATGTCCCTGTCTCCCCTCTAAGACCAGGAAGGCCTCCAGAGCAAAACTGGGTTTGGTTTACCCTTTGGTGCCCAGTACACAGCATATAGGAGGCACTTAGTGAATACTTGAAAAAAATTCTGTTTATTGAACTGCAGCAAGAAGGAACAGGCAAAATAGTAGAGAAGCAGGACCACAGCAGGTACTAGATAGATAGCTGTGAATGTGAATGCCTAGTGTATCTACACCAGTGGGTATATGAGCTAGACTGGCAAGGGGGACAGAGGATCAGAAATTGGCCAGTCCAAGGGACAAAGCCAGGCCGGGCCACTGATTCCACCTCCTGTCACAGTGTGCATATCCTCAGGCTCAAAAGTCTCCCTCTTCAACCGCCTTCGCTCCCAGACGGTCTCCACGCGCTATCTCTCTGTGGAAGATGGGGCCTTTGTGGCCAGCGCACGCCAGTGGGCTGCCTTCACGCTCCACCTGGGTAATTGCATCAGTAGGCCTGGTGCTGGACACTTCACACCACAACTCCTCGAAGAAAGAAAATTTTGCTCACAGAACTAGGGCCCAGAAATACAAAATGACTTGCCAAGGTCCCATGAGTCTGTGACTGATCCAAGCTATTCTGACTCCGAGCCCTTTCCCCTCTTCTCAAAGCCTGTCCCAGAGGGCACACATTTGTGAGGATGGCCACAAATAACCCCTCCAAGATGAGAACCTTTGACTTTAGCTGCCTCCCTGCATGCCAGCCCTACCCACAAGATCCCTGTGTGATGTGGGGTAGAGCCAGAGGCAAGAAGGGCTTGAGGCAGAAGCCTGGGACTTCTGCAACCCTCCTTCCTTCCTTCTTCTCCCCCCCTCAGCTGATGAACACTGTTCCCAGGGGGACTTCCCACCTCGGGAAGGCTACGTCCGCTATGGCTCCCTGGTGCAGCTGGTCTGCACTGTCACGGGCATCACACTGCCTCCAATGGTATGGGGAGGCTGGGCATACCTGTAGGGGTCCCCTCAGATTCATGCAGAAGGCCAGGGCCAGAGGGTGAGGGCCCGAGGCATGAAGATACCTATTGTCACTCTAGACACAGTGCTTTGTGGGGCGGGATGGGGGTCAGGGGCTGGGGCGGGGGGAATCTGCCAGTGTCTGCACGGCTAATGGAGTAGCAGAAAGCTGGCTGGGAGGGCAGCCTCTGGGTGCCACCATGCTTCCTACCACCCTTCCATCGTAGATCATCCGCAAAGTAGCCAAACAGTGTGCGCTCCTTGACGTAGATGAGCCCATCTCCCAACTGCACAAGTGTGCATTCCAGTTTCCTGGTGGGCCTCCAGGAGGGGGTGGCACTTACTTATGTCTTGCCACAGAGAAGGTGGTGCAATTCCAGGTGAGAAGCAGAGAATATTGGCAGCAAACATCCTGGAAAGTCAGAACACAGAGAACCATAGGGTGTAAGATTATCACCATCATAATGGCTACTACTTTTTGACCAATACTGCCTCCCACGGAATGTTAGAATTATAGACTATCAGGACAGAATCAGAGAATGTAGAAAAAAGAGGAATAGTGTAATTGAACAGTACTCTTTCCCAAAGAATATTAGTCATAGAATGTTGGGATATAAAATTGTAGAATGTGAGTAAAAAAAATAATAAGTAAAAGTTTTAGCAAAAATAATTAGAATCATAACATGTTAGGACATAGCATTTATAGAATGTGGAAAGTCATTATTATTAAGCAATACTACTCCCAAAAGAATATCATCATAGAATGTTAAGAGATAAAATCATAATATGTAGAAAATGCCATTCTTATTGAGCAATATTCCCTCCCTAAGAATTTTAAAACTGTAGAATGTTAAGCCATAGAATTGCACAACGTTAAAAAACTGAATTGTAGAATCCTATGAAAATAGACCTTTAGAAACCAGCTAGACCAGCGGACTTATTTAACTACAAGAGAACTTAAGGGTCTTGTCCAAACTCGCAGGGTAGGGAAACCGCTGAGCCTAGAACTGGAACCCAGAATGGGAAGCCCAGGCACTAGGCTGGCTTCCCAGCGGTGGTGGCCACCATCCGAAACTTCTGCCCCATGCCCTTGGGTCTCCTCCCAGGCCTCCCCCTGCCCCAAGGAGGCGAACAGAGCTCTTCTCAACGACAGCTCTTGCTGGACCATCATCGGCACCGAGTCGGTGGAATTCTCCTTCAGCACCAGCCTGGCGTCCACCCGAGAGCCCGTCACTCCGGTACCCCTCATCAGCACGCTCGAAGTGAGTCCAGGCTCTGGGGGGCGCTGGCGGGCGTGGAACCTGACTACTGCGGGGTGGTGGGGGGTGGGGGGCGGCAGGCCACCGCCACACCACCGGGTCCCATCCTCCGCAGCTGAGCGGTGGGGGTGACGTGGCCACGCTGGAGCTCCACGGTGAGAACTTCCATGCGGGGCTCAAGGTTTGGTTTGGGGACGTGGAGGCCGAAACCATGCACAGGTAGGGGTCGGCGGGGTGGGGGAAGCCTCTCTCGGGCTCCGGGGAGCAGAGGGTGGGGGCTGCATGTCATCTGCGTCACTTCAGCCCTGACCTCGGTGCCCTCCGCAGGAGCCCGCGGTCCCTGGTGTGCGTGGTGCCAGACATAGCCGCCTTCGGCAGCGACTGGCGCTGGCTGCGCACCCCGGTCACGGTGCCCTTGAGCCTCGTGCGCGCCGACGGCCTTTTCTACCCCAGCGCCTTCTCCTTCACCTACACCCCCGAGTACTGCGCACAGCCCGGGTCCCCAGGCGCCCCCGAGCCCGCCGCCGCCGCTGACGCCGACGTGCTCCTCCAGAACATCCACCACGAGTTCACGCGCACCAACTTCCACCTCTTCGTCCAGACGTAGCGCCGTCTGGACGTGGACTAGGTCCGCGCGCAGGGCTGATCTCGGCCGTTTTCCTGGGTCCTGGGTCTTGCTCCCTGCGCCTTCGCTGCAAAGTGCAGACGGCAGCCTGAGCCACAGAAGGCTTCTCAACACAGAAACCCAGCCCCGCAAGCCTTATGCGGGTCACTTGGTCGTCCTTACAGATCTAGGAAGACACAACCTGGGCGATGTGCCCTGTGCCCAGTCTCAGTTCCTAAATCGAGCAATCACATTCTCTCTCTCCATCAGTAACTCTGCAGATCTCTCTGGTTGTGTGTCCCTATCCCTTCTGCATTGTCTCTGACTCTCTGTGTGTCTCATAATTTCACACACACTGAGAAGCAGCCAGGGGACTTTTAATCCCCAGTCAGCTGTGTCTCCTCTTGAAGAAAAAAACACATGGTTTCACACACCCAGGCATGGGGCACAGGCACAGAGACATGGCCTGCATGTCCCGGAGCACCAGCTTTGTGGGGAGTACTCTATCTGATCTTGAGGGCCAAGTGCCACTGCGAGCACCGAGTCTGCGGCAGCACCAGGTCCTATCTGGAACACTGGATCGCACTCAGAGCAGCACTGAGTCCCTCCTAGAGCACAGGGGTCCTGCCCGGGAGCACTGGGTTCCATCCTGGAGCACAGGAGTCCTGCCCTGTAGCACTCACTGGATTCCACCCTAGAGCAGAAAAACCTACCACTCCTTGTGCTCCCTATGGTTGAAGCTAGGCATGGCACCCTTGCCTATATTTATTCCCTGGTCTACAGCTTTGGTAGCTGGGCAGGTGCCTGGGACAGTGGTCAGGCCTTAACATCTTAGGCACTTCTCTTGCAAGCCCAGAAGGATGCAGTCCTGAGGATCAGGGACTGCTTTGCTGCGCTAGTATCAACCCCTATCCAAGACAGAATGTCATCTGTCTGACCCACCTCCCCAAGAAGGGAGCTGCCCACTGCACTCCCTCCCACCCCACAACACACACACACAAGTCCAGCAGAGCAGAGAGCCTGCCTTTTGGACCCTTTTTGAAGAAGGAATGAAGTCAGAAGCAGGTAGCATCCCTGAGTCCCTGTCACTGCTGTGGGGGCTATCTGTCAGCCCAGGGGATGAGTTACCTTACCAGTTCTCCCCTCACTCTAAGCAAAGATGCATTCCAGGTCCAGAAACAAACACAGGATACAGAACGAAACTTCCCCAGGACAACTTCCTAGGATCAGCTGGGCGATAACACAACTGAGAGAGGAGCTTCTCTGCGTGGGGCCCGGGAACCAAATCACAAGCCATCCCAATCAGCCTGCCTGCCCTCTGCCAATTCTATGCTCTACAGGGAAGCAGAGAAACCAGGCAGGGTACTGGCTCAGGTTGGAACCAAGGATACAGATAATATGGGTGCCAGCTACCTGTATTAGCCCCCTGGTGCTGACGAATGGGGAGAGCTGGTCTGAAATATGGGTTCAGGGCTCTCACCCCCAGGCCCTTCCTCCAGCTCTGAAGAAGGGATCATTTCCCACAAAATTCCTTCCCCAGAGCATGGAAAGCCCCATGAGAAAGAGGAAGCTGGCATTTCCCAAGGGAAGGGCATGGGGCTTGCTTTTGGCCCCAAAGTCTTGGTCAGGTTTTGTCATCGGCCATCAGCAGGCTAAGCCCCACTTTGACAGGGAAGGAGAAGCTTGCTCAAAGCCCCTCATGTCCCCTGAGAGTGGATCTGGCTGAGGACTGCAGGGAGCAAGTCGAACAGGAAATGTCCCCAACACAAGTGCCTGTCTCAGGAGGGCCTGAGCTCACTGCCCCGTGATGTCCAAGCAGGAAGCCACTTACAGGTGGCTAAGAAGAGTTCCGTAGGGTATTACACAAGAAGTTGGGGCTCAAGGGCTCAAGGGCCCTCCAGCCCGACCCTCAAGGACTTCCTCTGCCACTCCACGGGGCAGGAGTCCGGCAGCCGAGAGCCCAGCCTGGTCTGAAAGCCCAGGTCCAGCCGTGCTACTCTGCCTTCTTCAGCGTTCCCGTCGGGGCACCCAGGACACTTGCTCTCATCTATGCACCCACCTGGAAGTCTCAAGGCTGCAGCTCTGCTGCTTCTGAGTTCCAGTGGCTGGAGGTCATTGGAGGTCCTCCTGGTCCCAAGTCTGGAACCATCTGACATCAGCGCCCCCTCCCTCTCCATCCCCGTCAAAGCATGAATTTTCTGTCTCCTTCAACGCTGGCCAGTCACCGAGGACTAAGGAGTCCACCTCTCTTACATGAGAACAAGCTTCCTCTTTTCCTCTCCCTCCACTACTGCCTGCCCTGTTCCCCAACTCAGCTCAGGTGTCATCTCCTCCATGATTTCCCTAGGGAAGAACTGGCTACATAATTTCTGGGGCCCACTGCAAAATAAAAATGTATGGCCTTGTGTTAAAAAACACTACGAATTTCAAGACAGCGATAGCAGAGTATAAATCAAGGCAGAGCCTTTCTAAGCATGGGGCCTTGAGTGACAGCACAGGTCATGTGTCCTTGAAGCCACCCCTGACCCCAGGAACCTCACTGGGACCATGTCACCACCCACCTTGGGTCAAAGAGCTTTATATACATTTCAGTTGTCCCATATATACTGTGAGATTTGTGTGGAAAGAGGCTTGTTGCTGGGTGTGCTACAGGGTGGATTAAATGCCTTGAACATTGAACTGGGGACTCAATATATTATTACCAAATTGTATTGTTTTGCATGGGCAGGTATTTAGATATTGCAAGTGCAAAACAAAACCAGCAGATGGCACTATTTCCCCTCCCCAAGAATGAAGTCATCGGTTTTTTTTTTATAGTTAAGGAATGGTTAGGGTCCTTCAAGAGAATCTTAACATTTTCATGCTTTAAGGATCAAGACTCCCCAGGGATGAGAATTATTGCTTTAGTCCCTATTTCCTCCTCATTTTATAAATGGAGAGACCGGCTCTGAGAGAAGGCCCAAGGGCAGGTTGATAGCAGAGCCAGATTTGAATTCTATACTGATGCTAAATCTGGACTCTGAGGTTATTACATGATGAGAATAAGATCAAAATCTCCATACCAAAATGTCCCTGCTCACAGCTGAGGTTCCACCATAAACAAGCTCATCTTCTGGTTTAACCACTGACATTTGGGTTTCTCTCTCTCTCTCTTTTAAGTTGGGTTTCCTCAAAGAGAAACTCTATAACCACAATGTGGGTAAAATTCTCAGACACCTTCCTCCCCAGGGAACATGTGGACTGCTGAGAGAACAGACCATACAGATGACAAGGGAGAGAGGAAGTGGCTTTAAGGGGAATGAAACCAATAACACAGTCTTTACCAAGTGTTGCAAAGGTCAGCCCTGACCATGCTTACCAAAACAGGCCCATAAGCCAGGCTTGGCTCTGTTCCAAACCCCAAGGGATGAAGGCAGGTGGGACAGGGTGGCACAGTAATGCTTTCAGGGTGAAGTGAACACCTGCTACAGCTGGCTGCTCACCACCCAGGGAGAGACAGGCAAAGTTCTGGGGGAAGGCAGAGCCTTGTGACCAAGCTCTTTAGGGACTCACCTTGGTTATAGAGTGCTGAAGTGGGGCTCACTCTGCCAAGTTCATCCCCAAGCCCCTATCTGGTTAAAAGCACCCTCCTCTGCAACCCTGGCAGGTGTCCAGAAGTGTGCCACACGCACCTCACCCTGGGCTTCGATGTTTTTGTTCTAGCATAGACATATATACATACATACACTGCTGTATATATACTCCCTTCTCCTCACACTAATAACTCGTGTAATTTCAGAGAGGTCACCTGAAATGAAGGAACGCAGATCTCATGGTGGCTTTTCAGACAACAGTCATGTTGGAGTTAAAGCTGTATGTACTAGCTGGCATGTTCATGTCACTTAACCTCTCTGCACCTCAAGTTTCCTCTTCTGTAAATGGCAGTAATAGCAGTTGTTTCATAGGCTGTTACAAAATATAAAATAACTAACAGATGCAAAGCACTTTCAATGGGGCCTGGCCCCCAGTAACTACTTTCTGTGGGGCAGTTGCTCACCATTGTTAGCCCAGAAACACTTCGAGAGATGACCCCTACTGCACTCTCCCGCCATGTAGCAGATGGAGAAATTGCTGGTCTGAGGAGGTAAGTGACTTTCCTGTATTAGCTGTCTATGTTGTGCAGCAAATTACCACTATTGTGGTGGGTTAAAGCAACACTAGTTTACTGTCCCACAATTTCCCTGGCTCAGGAGTCCAAGCACACACCTTACCTGGGTCTTTTATCCAAGCTCTCCCAAGGCTGTAAGCAAGGTGTCAGCCAGGGCTGCAGAGTCTCTGAGGTACAGGGTCCTCCAAGCTCACACAGTTGTTGGTAAAGTTCATGTCCTTGTAGCTGTAGAACTCATGACAGCTTCTTCAAGGCCAACAAGAGAGCTCTTAACAGGAGGGTTTCAGGCCTCCTTATAAGTGCCTTCAACTGACTAAGTCTGGTCCAGCTAGGATAATCTCCCTTTTTACTAACTCAAAAATCAACTAATTTGGGACCCTCACCTTTGCTGTCTAATGTAACCTAATCATGGGAGTGACATCCATCACATTGACAGGTCCTGCCCACACTCAAGAGGAGGGAACAGACAAGTTGTATACACCAAAGGCAGAAATCTTCTGGGCCAGCTTAGTATTCTGAGTATCCCACTCCCCAAAACCTCCTAGCAAATGATTGGCCAGGGGGAATCTATGTGGCCTGTAGGTCTCCCATGCCCCCTGAAGGAATCACCCCATAGAAAGAGAGGGCAGTACTTCTGCCGCTTCAGAAGATTGGCAGGGTCGTGAACAAAAATGGTCCAATAGTGCCCAAAACCCACTTTGCATTCCCTGCCCAAGCCTCAGAAATACTATTATACCACATTCCACTCCAAGTTGGCTCTCCAGGTCAATTAACCCCATCTAGAGTTGACCAGCCATGGGGCTACGTAACCAGCCTTCAAGATGGCTTCTGATGTGTTTTAGCCCTAGTGGTTTTCCTGCTTTTCTGTAGTCTCCTTTCTCTATGAACAGGGCTGATCTGGGTGACCAGTGGGGTATTGTGGAAGTGACAGTGTGTGACTTCCAGCTTGCAGCTTCCAAAAAAAGCCAGCTGCTATGTCATGAGGATATTTGACCAGCTTACGGCCAGGAACTGAGGACCCTGCCAACAGGCAGCACCAACGTGCCTGCTGTGAGGGGGCCATCCTGGGCGTGGATCCTCCTGCTCAGTCAAGGTTACAGTTGCCTGCAGCACATTTTGACTACCACCTCGTAAGACCCCAGAAGCAGCTGGCTAAGCTGCTCCCAAGTTCCTGGCCCACAGAAACTATGTGAGATACATTATGTTGTTATAAGTCCCTAATAGAAAGAATACAGGGGCCTTCTGGGGCTAATAGCTTACCCAAAAGATGGCACTGCTCATGGAAACAAAGTGCCTCTTATTGACCACTTACCTTGTACCAGGCTCTGACCTACCTCCCTGCAGGCTGTTGGAGCACAAGGTAACAGCTGGTGAAAGCTGAAATCCGAGTACAGAAGTCCTGACCCACAGTCACACAGTCGCGTCATCCAACAAGCCCTAACGGAAATTGCTGCGACAATAGAAATGCTCCCTATCTGTGTGCCCTGTCCAAAAGTAGCCAGCCACCAGCTGCATGTGACTACTGAGCACCAGAAATGTGGCTAGTACAACTGAGGAGCTACTTCATTATTCTAATTAATTTACATTTAAGTAACAACGTGACTAGTAGCTCCTGTATCTCACAGCGCTGACCTAACAGATGTGAGGTGCAGATGCAAGACCCAAATTATAAGGGATGGCGACCCACTCAAGCCTCATGCAGCTCAGGAAAGCAGGGTGTGGCAGGGTCTCAGGAGGAATCTGAGATACCATGGTGTTTGAGACAGGACTCAGTGCTTCTGAGGGGGTTTGCAGGGCCTCAGTGAGGGGGCCCTGGGTATCATGTGATAGGCAGTGTGGTTGTGAGCAGACTCCAGAGCACCACAGCCTGGGTTCAAATCCCACCTCCACCGTTGGGAAGCTGTGTCACTTTGGGCAAGTTATATAACCTCTTAGCTGCAGGTCCCCATCCATAGAACGGGCATACTGATAGCACCTCTTCTGTGGAGTTGTGATTAAGCAGGCGCATGGTGATTAAGTAGGCATAGACTGGGTTCATGGCACTGCACGTGTGACTTGAGGGTTGCTTCCACCAGTTCCTCTCTGCACCCTTCTCGGACTCCAGAGCACCACTGGGCAAGACGGCACGAAGGGAAGATGACCAGAGGCCAAGGCTGAACTCTGCACAAACTCAGGGCAGGCTGCCTCTCAGCGGAAAGGGACTTACCGACCTCACGGGGTTGTTATATCGAGAGGTGTCGATGGTATTTGTCCACCGCCTACTGACTGCAGGGCCCCGAGATGCTAAGCAAGGGATGAGAGTGAAGCCGGTGGACGGAACCTGCGGCAAGGCAGAGAACCCCCGGCTAGAGGTGCTCCCCTGCCCGTTAGCAACTCCCAGTCGATGCCATGGAGCCCAAGAGCTGCCAAATCTTCAATTTTTCCCAAGGGACGTGAGGAATCTGGGTTTTTATGGGAAACATCCTCATTTCTATAGCTGGCAACTAATCCAAGGGTTTTTGTGTGTTTTTTTTAAACATGGTGACACCTAAACAAAGCATGGAGGTGGGGTGACATGCCTCACAAGCCACAAGGAGCCCATTCATTCTTCCCTCATCTTCAGGCCCTTTCTGGCTTCTTACATCTGTCTCTGGTGTCTGGTACCCCAAAGGGCATTTGCACAGGGAATTATCTTTGGCTTCACTAACATCAAGGGAACTCAGAAAGGTCAAACTCAGGATGATTTACAAACTAAAATGACAGAGGCAAGCAGTCTGGAAAGTACCTGGTTTTATTAAGTTTTTATCAAAAAATTCAGTAACAGACAACAGTATGAGGTGGCTACAAGACAAGGTGCTCACTCCCAACATAGCCAGAGGAAAAGGACATGGGGGGGATAAGAGGGCCCAGCCAGCTGGGCCCCCGGACTGTGGTGGTGAAAGGTACAGGGGGGGAAGGTGGTTCCCCCACCCCAGCCAGTGGGGTCAGGAGATGCCGCCTGCCCAGGCTAAGCCCCCTGGCCTTGCCTCCTTGGAGACGAGGGTCGCAGATAACAGGCAGCAGAGCTGGGGCCTCATCAGCCCTCCCACCCTCCGCTTTGCCCGGGGAGACAAAGGTCACCCCAGCAAAGCCAGGGCTGTGACTCGTTAAGCCCGGTGTGAGCCCTAGCACGGCTGTCTGATAAACGGACACGGTCCCCCACCTGCACGTTCGGTACGGCAGCCACTAGCCACAGGTGGCAACGGAGCACTTGAAATGTGGTTAGTGTGACTGAAGAATAAATTTTTAACTTTATGTAATTGTAATTGATTTAAATAGCTGCATGTGGCTAGTGGTTACCATATTGGACAGCACAGCTCTCTCATTTTCTCTTAAATTTGGAGAAAGCAAATAAAAGGACACCAGCTGGGCTCAAAGCAGAAGCTATTCCAGCCCAATCAGGAGAAGGCATGACGAAAGCACAGGAGAGGCAAACGCCACTCAGCCACACAAAAGTCCACTCACTCAACCACCCCCCAAACTTCAAAAGGGAAATATCATACTATCTCCTGAAAAAATATATTTATCTATTTTTCTAGAGCCAAGGAATAATAACAATATATTATAAGAAAAGAGACACAAATATCTCACCATCCCCTACATTATAGTTTGGAATCTGCTAGAAAATTATGTTTCAAAAAGCAACAGCTACTTGTCAGAGGAAGCAGCTACAGAAAGGGCCAATGTGAGCAGGGGAGTATGAAGTCAAAAAAATAAAAAAAGAGGTTGGGGAGGGTATTTAAAGAAAAAGAGGAAGGGAGAAGGAGAGGCTTGTCTGAGGCTATAAATAAGTTTTTAAAAAATTAATAGAAATCATATATCCGACTCTTGCTCTCATTTTTGAGAAACAAAAGCAAAACACCATTAAATACACACTCAGTGGATGCTATGGAAACATGCAAGAGGCAAAGGACACATTAGCATCCATGCTCCTGGTCAGGCACAGAGCCTCTGCAGGAAGGAATGAACGGTTACAAAACAATACCCCACTAAAAATAGATTTACAAATGTTCTACAAATGCATTTCAGTATGAACTTTTAGCTCCCCTCCCTCCCCAAATAAAAAAGGTTGATTTCCAAAAGTCACTTGAAAGAGCCTAGAATGGCCCAAGGTATACCACACACTGTTGTAGTGTGGTCACACGTGCCCTTTGACGGACACATCTCAAGGTGCAGATGGTTCTAGTTCCTTCTTCCAGCTCCAGGTAGAGGAACAGACTGTGAAAGGGAGGAGGGATAAGGCCGCCGCTGGGACTCCCAACAGCTCCGGAGTGGGCTCAGGGTGAGGCTTGTTCAGCAGAGGCTCCTAAGACGGGCCTGGATTCTAATCGGGAAGATTAAGAAATGATCCAATCCCAGACATGCCTTCAGAAAGGCCAAGTTTAACCCCATTTTTCTGTTGGGACAAATCAGAGGCCCAGAGAATCAAGGAGAGGCGGGCAGCAACGGAGGGTGAAGTCTCGTTTCTGTTCCTTACAATGTAATCAGAGCTGCTAGGTCAGTATTAGGTTGCCCCCCACCCCTCTAATGCCCACCCCTCCAAATCCTTTGGCTTCCCTCCCCCCTGAGGTCCAAGCTGGTGCCCAAAAGGAAGCTTCAGGCATAGAATTCATTGGTGGGGGCTTTCTTGTAGATGGGTTTCTTGCCCAGGTCGTAGCTACCCTCGTCCTTCTTCTTCATGCGGTACACCAGCAGCAGGACCAGGAACACAGCAAAGAGGGTGCCCACGACACCACCCACGATCAGAGCTGCAGAGAAAGCGGGGGGCGATGAGAGCTGCTCATCAGGACCTCGGGGCACTGCCACGACCTCCCAGTGTCCCTCACAGCCGGGTCCTTGCCATCACCACTGCCTGTGCCGGGCACAACCTCACTTGTGAGAAGGGGGTCACTGTACGTCACTGAGGACCAAAGAGCTCAAGTGGCAAGGCCACCATTCCAACCCACGTTTGCTCGAGTCCAAAGCTGGGCTCTTCCTGCACACCAGGCAACTCGCTAGCAACAGCTTAGCACTAACTGAGCCAGGAGCAAGAAGAAAACAGTAGGCTGAGGAAACCCCCCTGCACATCCTTCCTGGAAAGTCCCGAGCACAGCGCCCCCCGTGGCTGTCCCTGTGTGCGCACGAACCTAGACAGGCCTCTGCTTCTGGGTGATTTTAGGCAAGTTCCTTAATCCCTCTCATTGCAAAATGGAAATAATAGTACCTTTCTTATACGTTTGTCCTGAGGATTAAACAAACTAATCCACTTAAAGTGCTTAGAACTGTACATAGCATATGTTCAATACACATTCATTATAAACCTTTATGGTTTATCTCTGGGTCCCTAGCACGCTGCATCAGGCCTGGCACAGTGGTTAAGTGCTTCATAAATGGCACTCACAGCCCAGCTTAGAGAGCAGCGCTACCCCCGGGCACCTGCTAGTCCAGGAAGCTGGAGGTCTCTAACCACCGAGAGAGCGTCTGGTCTCTGCACTGTGCCAGGCGGCCTGAATAGCTCATTCCCATTTGTGGAGGGGGCAGGGATGTTTCACACAATCCATTTGGTGGCAGACTGAGTTCCCTAAGTCGGTCTTACTTAGAAAAGAAGATTTATTTTCTGTCCCTGCGCATATTCCAAACCTATGCACAGAATGGGGACAGTGGGGCAGAGAGGAATCAAGAAGGTCCTTTCTTGGCTAAAACTCTACACTTAATGCAGCAACAAAGTGTCCCCAGGAAATACCAGGAAAAGCACATGGAATAATAGGAATCACCCCTATTCCTGCTCCTGTTCCCTTGCCCTCTGAGGACCCCAGCTCCTCAATCAGGCCCATGGCTTGTGCTGGGACTTCCCACAAGGTCAGAAGTGATTTATGAGGTTTAAATGCTAGGTCTTACCACTGCCTGGTCTTGTGACTTTGGACAAATGATTTGGCCTCCCTGGGCCCCAGTTTCCTTATCTGTAAGAATACAGATGACCAGACCTGTCTGATAGGGTTGCTGTGGGGACTCACACGAATCACATAGCATACCAAGTGCTTGAGACGCTCCCAGGTGCCGTTTAGAAGCTACTGGAATGGAAGGTCTTGCCTCAGCTGGCTCAACAACTAACGTTTCACATGAAGATCTTATACTTGTACAATTCTCAGATGGAAGATTTAAGAGATGACCTGGCTTTGGTTCTGTCTCTTATTATGTGACCCAAAACAAGTAGTTGGCTTCTTTTGTGCCTCAGTCTCCCCATATATAAGAAACAGTTGCTAGGACTAAATCAGTGGTTTTAAAATGTTTCTTTAAAAGCAGTAGAACCCTTAGTTGCTAAGAGCAAAACCGTATGCTAATATGCCTACATATGCCAGCTAAAAGTGAAACTCTGTGGTTGAAGACGGGGAGGCCTTGCTTCTAAAATATCTCTAAACAGTGTGAATCTTACAAGACTAAAAGATCTCTCAGGATCCAGCAGTACCCACACCATCTACATCACACAGAAAGTAGTGAAGTTGAAAAAAAAAAAAGAAGAATGGCCCAAGTACAGGCCGGGGTGAGGGCTGAGCTGGGCCCAGTCACCTGGGTTTATACTCCCAGGGAGCCTCATCTGCAACAGGGAGGGAAAATCCTTAACCTGAGGCAGGGCATGGGGGGCTCTTTTCCTGTACCTCAAGGGCCCAGAGGGCTACCAGGAGACAGGAGTAACCCAGACAGCCTAGGGCACCCACTCTAAAGGCTGGTTTATTCAGACTGGCCCTCAGCCTGTAAAAATGGGCCAGAAAGGGAGTTCCGTGGGATGACCCTCAAAGCTGCCCAGGAAGGAGAGAAGGAGCCCGTCACCTTTCCAGATGAAGGCTCAATAGCCAGGTGTGAAAGAGCCCCTCCTGAAGCCTCACCCTGGGACAGAGCTTTCCCCACAGCACAGGAGAGTCAAGAACCCTGTGGCTCTCTCCTGAGGCCAAACACCGAACCTCTCCTGGCCTCAGTTTCTTAACCTGTCACAGGAAGGTTCCCAGTATGCCATGCACTATGAAGGACCAATGAAGAGTCAATCAGATCATACTAACAAATCAGGGAAGCCCTTTATAGTTTGCCGGGTTGTTTCAGATTCTGTTTTTTCATGGAGTCATTACCAACCCAGGGAGGTATCGCTGCACCCATTTCCACAGAAGGAAACTGAGGCTCATCTCATCAACTGAGGTTGGCAAGCTTCTCAGCCAAGGTCACAAGGCTGTTAAGTGATAGAGCAGCTGGGAGGGGGTTAGCCAGTCCAATTCAAAGGTGCCTCTGGGCTTTTAAGGGATGTTTTTCAAGGAAAGTTAACTTTTAATAATTAACTCCCCAGGTGCCAAACCCAGGCTGTGAAAGTGCTTTGAAAATAGAGAAGGTCTTAAGGCCACTGAATGACTCACTCTATTCTTTAGAAGCCTTTGAGAGGCAATTCTTCCCCTTCCACCAGGCTGCACACCCAGAGCCACCCCTCAGGGAGGGGCAGTCCTTCAAGGCCCCGGGACACCCTGTGGCCTTAAAGAAAGGGTACCAAGGAGTTAAAGGCACGTGTGCCTCAGCACTGTCGCCCACTGAGCCCTCTCCCCTTTGAGGTGCCTGGTGAGGAGCACTGGACCTTACCTGCCAGGACCTCTGTCCTCTCAAAGATGCTGCTGCCCTGGGCAGTGCTGGACATGGACACCTTGTTGGGCACATTGTCACCCCCTTCAAATGGTGAGATCCTCTTGGGAATGACCTCATTCTCTTCCAGGTCCTGGGGTTTGGTGGGGACCTGGCTGCCAGGCCCTTCCCTCTCAGGGATGTGGTTATTTAGAGGCACCTGGGGGGGAAGGAGAAGAGACAACACTCAGCACGGTTTGGGAAGAGACCCAGGGCAGAGGACAGGGACAGTCAGACAGATGGGGAGACTGGTTCTGGCATCTCACTGGCTGAACCATGTCATCGGGCAGAAATCAGCAACAGCCTCTCAACAATTATGCTGTCAAATCCTTACCCTCAATTTTTCTAGTAGATCTGTCCCAAATGGGGAACGAATAGTGTAACCACGGGCACAGGGAAGCCGATGTTGGTCAGTGGGTTATTCTAAAGAACCACTCCGAAGGGCAGTTTGGCAACTGCAAAAACAACCTGCCCTTTGAGACAACAATTTTGCCTATGGGATTCCATCCTAAGGAGCTCAGATTTGTGTAAAAGATGCTTGCTGTAGTGTTGTAATTCTGGAGTATCAGAAAGTTATAAAGAACTTCTGCATCACTAAGGGGAACCAAGTGAGCTACGATTAGTTATAAAAATGAATAAATAGGAGGAACATTTAATTACCTGGAGAAATACTCATGACTACTGTAAGTGAAAACTGCAGTACATAGAACTATATACACATAATTTGATATGAGTGTTGGGAAATACCTAGAGATGCACAGAAAAGGTGCTGGCAACACACTAGGTGTTGCCAGTGATTATCACTACAGGGAAGAGGGCCTGCGCTGCCCAGTTAGGAGCCCCAGGTCGCAAATAAATACCTTCCTGCAGGGTGAGGTCAGACCCCCCCTCAGACTGCCCCTCTCAGCAAGTGCTACAGAGCAGCAAGTGGGGAGAGGGAAAGGCGTGTAGATACTTACCAAGGGCTGGATTACTTTAGGAGAGATCTCGGGGTCCTCTGAATCATCTGTAAGGTCAGAAAGGCTGTGTGAGCGTGAGGTCAGTTACCCCTAGATAGATGATCCCCTCTTCAGCCACGGCTGGTGGGAGCCCTAACTTACAACTGGCCCCCTAACGCTGAGTCCAGCAAGCAACCACTCACACCCAGCCTCAGTCACCTCGTCTGTACAATGGAGCTCCTAAGACCCGCCTCCCCGGCTCTTTCACAGGAGTGCTGAGCCAGGATCTGGGCAGATGCTCTGTCAGCACCAAACCCTTGATCAATAAAGTGTGGAGCCAGGGACTGGGAGCTGGTTAGACATGCAGAATGTCAGGGTGCATTCAACCAGAATCATCTTTAATGAGACCTCCAGGAGATTCATTTGAGAAGGCTGTAGATTATAATATTAAATACTAGAAATTGCAACGTTAAAATATTTACTTAGTATGTGCCCAGAGCTTTAATTCAGCCCGATCCCACACCCTGATGTACTGTCATTCCCATTCCCATTTTACAGATTAGGAAACCAAGCCTCCGAGGTCACAGAATGGCAGTCTGAACTCAGGGCAATAGCTCAATTTTCAGATCGTTACACCACCCGGCACACAGGAGGGACACTTCTCAGTATTTCTGTCTGGCCCAGCAGCCAGGGCCCCGGAAGTCGCAGAAGACCATGAGGGGTTCCAGCCCCTGGCCAGGCCAAGAGGCCTGGGTGCCTTCATCTACTCCCCTCCCCCTCTGAAGCAGGGGCTTGTTCTCAGTTCCCCACCCATATCTCTGCCCACACACGCCCCCAGGCTTCTGAGCTGGTCCTTTCGCTTTTCAAAGGAAGAAAAACACTATTCTCCACCTCAGCCCCACCCCCGCCATGCCCTTGGCCATAGGTGGACAGGTCCAGGCTGGTGCTTGGAACACCTAGAGCTACAAATGAACTCAAATCAACAAACTCTCCCAGGGAAGGTCTCTAGGTAACTGGTCAATCCAGTTACCTTTGTTTCCCCTTTACTGAGGGTGGAGGGAAATGCAGAAAAGTCCCCACAAAAATCCACATCTCAAAGTGTGGTCACTTCCCCTAGTTGGTGAGGCCACCTTCCCTCCAGCCGCACGCCCCAGGGCTGCCACATCACACCCTTCATACCCAGATCTCCAGAGCCAGACAGCTCAAAGTCCTCAGGTTCCTGTCCAGGACCCCCAACATCTTCATCATCTGGTAGGGCGCCAGAAAAGTATCGGCCTTCTAGGAGGTCTTGGGGGTCAATGACTTCGGTCTCTCGGATCTAGGGTGAAAAAAGGAGATGCATCAGCCAATAGCCCCTACAACAGCCTAGAAAGGCAGTGAGGTGGGCATTCCGGAAGGTGACCTGGGGTACTGGAAGGGGGTCAAGCCAGAGCCTGGCAACCTGGGTTCTGAACCCCTCCTGGCTCCTGACTTGCTGTGTGATCTTAGGCCTAAGTCTATTTTCCATCCTGGGCTAATAAAACCATGAAGTATAATAATCAGAATATAAATATCAGTAGATACCTTTACTAAGTACCTGCTATGTGCCAGGCCCTGTTCTTAACAACTTTAAAGGCATGTCTTTAGCCCCATTTTACAACCAAGGAAACCGGGTACTTCCTTCTGACACAGAGAGCAGCTGAGAGAGTGAGGATCAGCATAGGGCTGCCTGACTTCAGAGGCAGAGGCCCCATCCACACAGGCCGGCCCCCGGTGGGATCCTCCAGGCTTCTATGATGCAGTCACAGCTGATTCAGCCACGGTAGGGAGAGGGCTGCTGGCTCTGGTCTTGCCTAGTTGTGGACACCTTTCCCAGCTGAGTCAGACGGGCTGGGACAGGCAGGGCTGGCTCACCCACATCCCAGGACAGCCTCAGGTCAGGGCACTGCCCAGACCTGGTGACTCAAGAGTGCACAAAGCACGTTCTCTCATTCAGCCTTCCAAACATCTCCCGTGGAACCAGTCCGCCACCAGCACTGTCACAGCACTGCAGCGGGCACAGAGGCACAGTTCCTGCCCTCACAGACCCTCCACTCTGCATCCACAAGTGTCACTCAGCCCCTATCCTGTGGGGACCTGGCCGGTGACAGCAGAATCTTAGTAGGCCCACCCCAACTGAGCAGTATCAAAGGTCCAGGGAGGCAGAGAACTTTCCCGAGGTCCTATGGTACAGCAGCTACTCTGCGCCCAGCCCCTGGAGAGAGTAGGAATCATTCAGAATGCGTACCACCCTTCCTCCTGGATTCTGTCTGCCCCCAGGACAGCAGCCCTGGGCAAACTCATTCTTTCCCAAATTTAGCCAAACATTAAAGGGCCTACTATGTGCCAGAAGAGTTGGGGTTTCTATGAAATTTAATACATACCCCTCTCCAAGATAGTCTGTCCCATCTTCTTTCCCAGAGCCCCTGACTGCTGTGGGTGTGGGGGTGCTCTGCTCAGAACCACAGAATTCCAGCTGGAGAAGCCTGTCCTTTCATTTCACATAAATTGAGAGAATTTGAGCCCTAAACAGAGCAGTGACTTGCCCAAGATCATGCAGTGACTTAGCCACATAACAGCCTGGCAAGAGATCCGGTGTCAGTTTCTGACTGCCCCAGGCTGTCCTTAACCCAACTGAGACTGTTGGTGACAGGATGGGAGGGAGCCTGAGAGGAATATCCATTCCTAAGACAAGGTTACCCTCAAGGGAGAGGCCCAGCCTCCTCCTGGACTCCCTCCACAGGTTTCTGGGGAAAGGCAGGCAAAACCAGACTGTCGTGCCCTCTTCCACCCCCTCCACCTGCCAGATTGCCGGATTGCCGGATTCCCGGAAGGGAGCGGAGTCAGGCCATGAGGAGGGCGGTGGGCAGGCAGCCCCTTCCTGTCTGCCGGATGGGAGCACTGCGGCTGAGCCCCTGGCACCCAGGGAGGTGGGGAGCCAGAAGGGGTTAAGCCCTGGTTAGGGATGACTTCATGACTCTGGAATCAGGAGCTGTTGAGTTGCTGGCGCTGGAATTCCAGCCCCAGCCCCCGCACAGCCCCGTGCCTGTGGCTTTGGTTTGGCAGCTCAGGAGGAAGGTTCCTCCATGTTTGTGCAAGCTGCCTGTCCCCAGGGTGAGGTCCCTGTATCCCTACCCCCATCTTCTGCTGCAAATCCCCCTGGGGCCCCAAATCTGAGACAGTAGGATCTCCCTGACTTACCGAACTAAGCACTTAGCATGAAGCAGGTCCTCCAAATAGATCTTTTTTGCAAAAGTAGAAACAAGGACTCAGAAAAGTAAAGTTCTTTGCCTAAGGTCACTGAAGCAGAAAGTGGCCACATTGACCAGAACCCAGGATTGGGTTACCAGAGTTTTTATCCACATACATAAAAACACATGCATGAACACATGTGTACACAGAGTGACCACTTACCCACGCTAGAAGGGGGCCCTGTTAAGTGAAGGTCAAACCCAGACCGGGAGAGCAAGAAGGTACATGGCCACTTGTTGACCTGGCCTGGAGACCAGAAGGCTGTGGGGAGTCAGAGTCCAAAGTCCTCCAAATGGGCTGTTTCAGGCTGAGACCCTCCCCAGCTCCCTTTGTCCCCGGGAGCCATGGGAGGTTGTTTACACATCCTGCCTTTTAGTATGTGAAAGTGCTCAGGGGTGTTTCAAAACATCCCACAGGAAGAGCATGCTGATTGGCACGGATAACGCTGGCATTAGTGAAATGGGAAGACCAAGAGAGGAGGCCAGTCTGGTGATCCTGGAGTCAAGTCAGCAAGTACCAAACCTGGGCTGAAACCCAGATTTATTCCCAGTTTAGCCCTCTTAGTGGTCGCCTGGTAATCCCCAACCCTTCAATTTTTATTCCAGGTTCCTGAAGAGGATAACCAAGGGTGTCAGTGGCACGGCCAGGATCAGAGCCCATCAGACACCCATTCCAGTGCTCGAAAAGGTTGGGGTCCCTAAGGACCACCCTAGGTAAGCCTAGGTGCTCTCCCACAGCAAGGCAAGGGACTTGGAAGAAGCTCTGTGAGGTGTGCAGATGGGAGAACACAGGAAACTAAACCTTTCTTCAACCCCAAGGCATCCCCTCTGATTGTCCCTGGCCCCTTCTGTGCCCATGACCCTGACAAGAGGGAAATTCCCAAGGGGGTAGCCAGCAAGACAGGACCAAGCTCGTGGGATTGTGGGCAATCACCCCCATTTGTGTGCAGGGGTAGGGAGGTGGAAGGTTGCACCTCCAGCCATCCTTGCCCAGCCCTCTTTTCAGACAAGGCCCATTCATTCTGGGGTGACTTGGAAGAACCAAGTAGGCCATCCAGGAGCCAGGCCCAGCCCTGACCAGAGAAAGACCTGACCCTACTCCTGGCTAACAACGTGGTCTGTGCTGGGCTCATCCCACCCTTGCCCCGGGAAACATCTGTCCACCCATCTGCACGCGCAGGCACCCCCTGGGCCCTCTGGTCTCCCTGTATTGTTGTCCTCACAGACTCACAAGAGAAACCACCAGGTGAATAAGGCAGTGGGCCTGGGTCCCCCAAACCCTGCCTGCCCTGATGCCTGGGGGTTTAGAGCTGCTAGACACTTGCCCCAACTACCCAGAGAAAAGAAGAAAGGGTGGGTGCTGTTTTGTTCTAAAGGGACTCACACCTGCCAACAGGTTTCTGAGGACAGACAGCCCAACCATCTCACAACTCAGCAAACAGATTGAAAGACAAGGGACTTTGCCAAGTTCACTCAAGCAGCTGGAACACAGCTGGGCTGAGAACCTTGGTCTCCTGGCTCTTGGGCTGGGTTTGTCCACCCTCCCCACTTCCCAGGTCTCAGTGAATCTACAGGCTACAGCTATCATGCCAGATACATTCTCCAACCAGTCCTTAGACCAGAGAGAGGCATTACATTCAGGAAAGATGACCAACCCTGCCACAGTCCTGCAGCTTCAGTCAGCAGGACAAACACGGGCTGGGGTGACTAGCATGGTACCCACTAACCGTCAGGCACCAAGTGAGGCTTCGATATATGAGCTCACTTTATTGGTACAACAGCCTTGGCAGGAAACTGAGGTTCCCTGAGTCATTCATCCCAGGTCACACAGCTAGAAAGCGACAGCTGGGATTCAACCTAGATCTTTTTCAAGACCATGCCTTAGCCACAACCTAACTTCTCAGTGCCATCAACACTTCACCACTTCACCCCAACCCCACCGCCCACACTGCCAGGCCAGGTTCCCGGGAACTCTTGCCCCTCGCCAGGGAGTAAACAAAGGTGAAAGTGATATTGCTTAAGCAAAAGAACAGCAACTTGGCTGGGGCACCAGGGAGAAGTTCAGGGTCAGGACTTGGCTAACTGTGAACGGGTGGGAGGAAAACAGGGAGGAGAACCTCCCCCCACCTGGCTCCTCCCCAGGGAAGACAGTGTCAGGGACACACTTTAACCCTTCTTTCAGGAGATGGGACTCGAAGGACAATTGGGCAAGCCAAACTGGGGAGGAGTGGGGATGGCAAGTACCCTGGGCTCCAACTACTGAAGCCACCAGAGTGATCCCAGCAGGAGATCCCCAGGAAGGGCCACTGATAGTCACTGTCCTCCCCCCGCCGCCTTTTGAAGGGTCAGAGATCCCCCAGACTGTGCAAAACCTGGGAGCCACGATTAGGAATCTGAAACAAAGGATTCACCCCCACAGTGGCTACTGGTAAAGGCAGACCCGCAAGCAGACTGCAGTTCTCCCACTTAACTCTACGGCCCTTGGAGGTTACTTCCCATCTCAAATCCTGTTTCCTCTTTTTGTCACCAGGACCATCCCATCTGCAGAATGAGGAGGATTAAGTGAAATGCACTGGTGTGTGTAAGGGACCCAGCCCTGGGCCTGGCTCGCAGCAGGTGCTCAGTGAGTAGCTGCTATTATTAACCTCTACCTCCTTCACTCTGGCTAAGGGGATTAGTGCTCAGAGGGTTTGAGAGGCCTGGGAAAAGCTGCAGAAGTAGTTCCATTGCTACAAAGAAGGTGGTCGGTGAATGGGGAGGTGTTTTTTGCAAACCATGAAGGGATGTACTCAATAATGGTATTTATTTTGACTCTGAGACCAGAGACTTTTCAGCAACCAATCTGGTCTCTTGAGACTGTTCAAGAGAAAAAGACCCAAAGATGAGCACACATCTGCCCAAGGTGGTACAATGTGGAGCACCTGTCCTAAGCACACAGAGGCAGAGAGAAGAACAATTGTATTCTTCTAAAAGGAGCAAACGGCAGTGGCCAGGGACACCTGAAATTCTTCTTGGGGACCTGTATCCCCAGAGTATTTCCTGACCTCCCAGGGGGATGAAAAAAATACCTAGAAGGCAGAAAGAAACCATATACCAATCCACCACCTGCTGCTCTGGTACCTGAAGGGTTAAGCCAGGTCTGGGGATGGGGGTGGGGTGGGGGTGGGATGGAGGTTCAAATGTCTCGCTCTGCCCACTCCGAGGTTGGGTTACTCTGAACACAATCACTCAGGAGAGCAGCCAGGCTGGGCACTGCTAGCAGCCAGCTTTTCACCAACCCTCAGGGCAGCCCATTCCCACAGCAAGGATCCTGGGGTGCCAGCTGAGAACAGGAGTGGGGGTGGGGTGCTTCTGTGAAGCCTGGTCATCCCCCTGCCAGGGGTTGATGTAGTACCCTGTCACTAACTCCCCAGGAGACCTTGAGAGATACCCTCTCTGGACCTTGGTTTCCCCACCTGTAAAAGGCAGCTCTCACAGAGACAAGCCTCCTCTGTCCCAGACCCGTAACCAAGCTGGGCGCTGCTCCGATTACAGCTAGAGACAGCAGGGAGGGGCCTGGCCCCCTCGGGCTGCAGACACAGAAGGGCATGAAGCTGGGGCTTGGAATCTAGGCAGCGGATCCCAAGTCCTTGCTGGACCCACGGGCAAGGAGGTAAACAAGCCTCCCGTGTTCCCAGCAGCGGAGTCGGATAGCCTTGTCTCCACTGAACCTATCAGCCCTGGACGCTGGCTTCCTGCCCTCCCAGCCTCCTCCTCCTTGCCCCTGCCCAGTGTGAGGAAGCCACTGCTCCAGACCGGGTCATTCGGCCCCACCGACAGCTCCTGGCCAGGCTTCCCGGAGGCAAGGAGTGTCCCCATTCCAGGTGACCAGCCCAGCCCTTAGTCGCCCCTGCCCCCATGCCCTGAGGTCCCGGTGGGGCAGCCAGCCTCGCAGGCCTGACTGACCAGCCAGGTCCCACCAAGTCATTTTGTCCACACATACCAGCTGCTCTCTGCGTCTCTTTCCATTACCCCAGGTGTCACCTGACTTGCAGCCTCTCTATGGTGCCAGAGAAAACTGGGGCAGCTGAGCTCAGGGCCTGAAGGCCGAGGGACAGGAAAAGGCAGAGTAAATGGAGGGCTGAATGGGAGGGGCTGGGCGGAGGGTGGGGAGGGGTGTGGGGCCCAGGGTGGGTGGGGGTTATCAGGCAGGTAGAGGGGGCTGTACAAGGCCAAACTGGGAAGACCTGTTCAGATCACAAAATAATCTTTTGGGGAACTCCTCCAGTGCTCTGGAAAGGATTAAGAGTTATGAACCCCAAGACCTCTAACCATCGGTTTACATTTTCAAGGTGCACACAGACACCACCTCCCCAAAGCCACACTCTGGTTAAGAGCCCTTGTTTAGTTGCTAATAATAAACTCAACTTAAGCCAGCACTATACGAGTTTGCCAAATACTGATTATGACCCTGGAGCAACACAGGTGTTTTAAAGAGGACACACTGGAGCTCACACCAGGGAAGTGACAATCTATTAACCGCATGTCCCTGGGTGAGGGGCAGAGCTGGGATGGGGACTCAGATTTTTCTGGCTGTGAAACGTACCCCCTTCCCTGTCACCCAGCCTCCAGCAGAGGCTCAGAGGAACTGTGCACAAATGTCATCAGCGCATTAATAACAAACCGGCCCAAGAAGACAGATTCCTTGTACTTCTAGGGTTAATCAGGCCCCAACTGTTGACACGTGCCTTCTCCTCCCCTCTCTGGGCACCCTGTGGTGAAAGCTAGCTCTTCAGAACACTACCTTTTCGGTCCACCATCACACGCGCCCCCTAAGTCCAGAGCACTATTTGCAATTCACTCAGCCTCTGTGGACCAGAAACCGTGCCCCTCCAACTCCAGAGAGGGACCCCCTAGTCCTGGAAAGGGGCCTGGTGGTCCCATACCCTTTGCAACTCCCCTGCCCCCTCCAGGCTGCAAGCTACTCCTTTGGGGGTTCCCATAGATCCCAGCAGGAGGGGTGGGGCTGCCAAGAACTGGTTCTTGTTTAAATATAAACCCATTTGATAATTAGCAAACAGCCCACTTCTAAGACAAACACAAATAGCAGATTTGGGCTCCATCAGCTCCACCCTCGACTCCTCCCTTCCCAACTTGCAGCTGTTGGGGGAAGGGAAAAAGCCTTCCAGGGGCCCTGGAGGTGGGATCCTCAAAGGTACAGGACCACCTGGCATCCAGGTGGCCTGGGCAAAGAAGGGTATTGTCACTAAGAACTGCTCCCTACCAGGCACCTACTGGGAGCCTCACCTGCAGACCTGTCTTCTCCCACAAGCTTCACCACAATGCCCATCTTCTCACAGACCAGGGAGCTGAGCCTCAGAGTTTGAGTGACCAGTCCAGAGCCAGTGTAGGAGGAAGGGGACTTCAGAACTCTGGACTTAGGGCTGCCTAACTCCAAACCAACCAACCAACATTCTAACACTCTCTAGTCAATCCCAGGAAGCAAAGAAAGGCCATCAGAAAAATCAGAGACTGCTGGGGTCAAATCAGAGCTGGCCTGTGCCAGCTTTACTCTATGAGCTCAGACCAGCTATAGCTTCAGTTCTGCTTTAAGAGAAAAAAAGCACTACCTGCCCCGCAGAAGTCTACAGACCAGTTTGGAGGACTGGATGAGTTCTACCGTGTCAAAGTCCACACACAGGTGAGGCCCCGTGAAGGTTTGGGGTTGACTACTAATTTTTCCTGTGTGTCCTCCCAAGCACTTATCTTTAATAAGCCCTCAAAGAAAAGGTAAAACCCTGGAGCCCATTCCAACACTCCCAGCAGGGCCATCCCATCAGCCAAGAGGTTGAAAGGAAATGGGTGAGTCAGGTGGGCCAGCTACTACTGTCCTCCAGTGACTCAGAGACCTGTCCAGCCCCCTTCCAAATTTTAAACAGTCATTTGGAAATCACACCCACCAGTCCAGAAGGCTGAGGACAACTAGAAGCCAGTTCAACTGAAGAGACAACTGGGGTGGAAAGCCCGGTCTGTCTCTCCAGCAATCATTTAGGCCGGCTCAGCACTCCAAGTCCTTGGAAAGGCCTTGTTCCTAGGAGCTGTGGGTGGCAGGTGCTGAATGTCAGCCCCCCTCCACCCCTCTCCAAACTTCTCTTGTTTAGCCTCTTTACCATGGAGGCCAAGAAAGCTGCCCTCCCTCCACCAGCGCGTCTCAGGGCAGATGGACCCTGCAGGGCTTTGGTCCAACCTCTTCATTATGGAGTTGGGGACACTGAGACCACAAGATAGGTCATCCTTGCTCAAGGTCACCCAGCAATTCATAAGTAGTATCTACCTTTAAATCCAGCCAATTCCACTGAGACCCAAAGATAGGTCATCTTTACCCAAGGTCACCCAGAAAGCAATTGAGAAGTAGAATCCATGGTATCTACCTCAAAACCCAGCCAATTCCCTCATCTGGAATGTTCTCGGAGGACACTCAAAGCAAACACCTTGTGTTATCAGACAGACCTGGTTCTGACCTTGGCAAACCACTACATTCCACTGAGCATCGGTTTCCTGTAAAAATGCAGATAATGATACCTACCTTACAATCACTGGGAGGCATTTCTATTAGTAATAAATAACCTCAATGTACCTTTCAGAATGAAGTTATGTGCATGAATTTATTTATTCATCATACAAACATTTCCTGAGTACTAACTATGGGACAGGTTATTTCACTAAAAATGAATAGAGCAGAGTTCCTGCCCTGGGTGCATATGATATTAATTCTCTCACAAACCATAACTTTCTTTAAGGGAGGTAATGCCTTAGATGTCTTTATGGTTTCCATGGTCCCTTTGAAAGAGTAGGCACTTAATTATTAACAGAATATCCGAGCTGGAAAGGACTCTCAAGGCCATTTGGTTGACCCCATTTTTACAGATGGGAGATGTCAACTCAGAGAGGAAAACGGACCCAACCTCACAAAGACCTCCAAACCAAATAGTTCTCTGTGCTTCTAAGAATTCCAAAGAGCTCTCTGGCTACTCAAAGGGTCCTAGACCTCCTGGGCTTCCGTCCACACCTCCTTCTGCACAATCAAGGAGAGAATTCTCAAAAAGACCAGAAATATCTCTAAGCTAAAGTATGGCCAGAGGGCGGGGGACATGTCCCCAGAATGGACTGGGCCTGGTGCCATGTCAGGGGGCTGTGCCCCTGGGCAGCAACACCTCTGGTGGGGGGGGTCTGGCTCCCAAAACAAGGCTGCCTTTAATTGGCCAGGGAGGGAGTGGCAGGAAGGCTGTTCAGGGGAATGCTCCCAGCTGGACAGGAAGAACTGGTTTAGGGTGGCAAGTCCCACCAAAGAGAAAAGGCTGGCTGCTCAGCCGGGACTCCCTTGCCTAAATCTGTGGCACCTGGCTGGGGTGTGGGGGGCACCACCCAAGGGAAGGGTAGGCCTTTGGCTTAAACTTCAATAGTGCTATTGGGGGTGACTAAATCACTGGACATGATTCTGGTGGCCTGGATGCTCTCTGTCACCCCAAAGTGGTACCGTTTTACCTCTGTCGGTCCCCTCATTGTAACGTGGGCACAATATAAGCCCCACATGCTAGGCTTTTCGTGAGGATAAAATGCACCATCTGGTATATGGAAAGCACTCAGTAACTCATAACTTCTTTTAGCAAACCCTTCTCCCTGGGCCTCAGTTTTCTCCACCTGC